CTGTGTATAAGGGAAAAGAATACTTCTACGGTTCCTCTGTCAGTCGTAAGAGGAGACTAATGATGTTGTGTCTAATTAACAGCCGACGTAATATTTTGTCAAAAGTATAAGGCGTCCTAAACAAAACTTAGGCGGATTGTCCCATCCCGGATGTACACAGGGACAACTAGTAAGAGGAAATAAAGTAGATAAAAATGGAGAAGACTTAAAGAATAAAGTTTTTGATACCAGTTGGACAACTTGTGTGGTATCTGTTTCACGAATCATGTGTACAGGTCTATCCAACGCTTGTAGTGTCAACGGTATAGGGATATTATCATTCAACTCTAGACTGGACTCGTGTATAAGGGAGAAAGATAGATACAAAATAAGAGTAGGTACTTGGAATGTTGGAACATTAACTGGTAGAAGTCGAGAATTAGTAAAAATATTGAAGAGGAGAAAAGTTAATATTTGTTGTGTGCAGGAAACTAAGTGGAAGAGTGAAAAAGCAAGGAAAATAGGTGAGGGTTATAAAATAATATACTCAGGTAAGTCAATACAATGAATGGTGAAGAGATAGTAATAGATGAGGAGATGAAAAGTAAAGTAGTAGAAATAGCTAGGAAACGTGATAGAATTATAGTAGTAAAATTTATTTTTAAGGAAAAGTGTCAAATAAAATAAGTGCCTACATAAAATAAGCACTACAAGTAGAATGTGTTGAAGTAGATAAGGTAGTATTTGGTGAGATATGGATGAGGAAATACAAGGAATACCTGGTAATGATGATGCGGGGATAGGTGGAGATATGAATGGACATGTAGGTAATGAAAGAAGATGATATGAAATAGTACATGGAGAGTATGGTTTTAGTGAGAAGAATGAGGCTAGAGAAAGAATCCTGGATTTCACAGTATCATATGATCTTGTTGTGGTTAATACTTATTTTAGAAAGAGGGAAGAACATTAAATAGCGAGAAAGATGTATGGGATGCATCAATGAAAATGAATAAAGCAGTAGGACCAGATGAAGTGCCAGTAGAAGTATGGAAAATATTAGGCAGTGTTGGCATAAGGTGGTTGAAGGAGCTTTTAAATAAAATCTTATTAGAAGGGAAAGTACCTAATAAATGGAGGAATAGTACTGTGGTGCTAATATTAAAAGGTAAATGAGACATACAGGAGTGTGGAAATTAGAGTATCAGAAGGTTTTCGGGTAAGAGTAGGAGTGCACCAAGGTAGACTTAGATAGTTTGGTCATGTTATGAGAAGAGAAGAATCGGAAGCTGTAAGAACAGATATTGAAATGAATGTTGAAGGAAGAAGAGATAAAGGAAGACTAAAAAAAAGTGGGAGTAATAGATCACAGATTGATTATTTGATGTGGAAGAAAGAGAGAGCGTAAAGCGAGTAAAACATTGTAAAGTTATCCCATGCGAGAGTGTAACTTCACAACATAGACTGATAGTAATGGATTTGTCGTATAGTGGGAAGATAATATACAAAAACAGAAAGAACACAAGAGAAAAATCGAGGATTCATTAATGAAAATTGAAAAGAAAAACGAAAAAGAGTTTTTAAAGACGGTTATACAAGTTAATTTTTAAATAGTTAAATATAGCTAACTTATTTTAATATTTTCAATGAAAAACAAATTTAATGAATTAATGTATATTTCTTAATAAATATACATTTTTCTAAAAATATATAAACTTATAACGTTTACTAAACAAAAAATTAATAAGTATTTTACAGTAGTACTTTTTTCTTACAGTTTTAGACAAATATTTTAAAAATTTCCTATTTTAAAAAGCACATGTATTTATACTAGGTAAATAATATAGGTCTTGTACTAAGTAAATTAAATAATTTTAACAATAATGCGTTTAACAGTAATTAATCTATAAGATTTAATCATTCACTTAGCAACTAGATTGTAAAATAATAATTGTTGTTGTTGTTTATAATTAAAAAACTTAATATTATCATCAANATAATGCGTTTAACAGTAATTAATCTATAAGATTTAATCATTCACTTAGCAACTAGATTGTAAAATAATAATTGTTGTTGTTTATAATTAAAAAACTTAATATTATCATCGATATTGTTTAACTATCATTAAAACAACCATGATTGTTGTTAGGGGAAGACAGAATACATATAAAAAGTGGTATTAAACTGAAAATCTAATGAGATGAAATATGATGGACTATGCCTAAAATACTATTTCGAGCTAAATAGTTCATTATAATGCATTATGAAAAGAAACATAATACAATGAATCCCAAATTATATTAGCTTCGATGCGAAGCTGAAAAGGTATTGGTTTTACTATTAGGTTTTTTTTTTTTTATATGTCTGTTACCACTTTTTCTCAGCTCTCACCGAACGGATTTCTTTCAACGATACGTCAAAAGATCACAAATTGTATCTAGTTGACAACATTACCCTCAAAAATTGAAAATATTTTCCTCGTTCCCCGTAAATTAGGGAAATCTTCAAAAAAATTACAAATTTAAAAATCGCTAATTTTCGAAATTTTTTCAATTTNCCCGTAAATGGGGGAAACCTCCAAAAAAATTACAAATTTAAAAATCGCTAATTTTCGAAATTTTTTCAATTTTTTTTACTAAAAACTGCCGTAACTTTTTCAAAAATGAACATATCAATATAATTTTTTTTTATAGATGCTTGATGTCATTACCTATCATTTGGTATATTTTTTTTGTAAATTTGACCCTTTATCTGCCCACAGGAGGGGATTTAAAATGACAACTTTTTCAACATAACTTTTGAAAATGTTCCGGAAGGTCTGACACTTTTATATATATATCTTAAATTAAAGCTTATGTAATATACTTAAATTAAAAAAAAAAAATTTGACCTCTAGACTTGTCTTCACGGCAAAAATGGTTACCGAATGCTATTTTCGTCTGAAAATTCTCGATTTTATTTTTTATATTTTTAACTTTATAATGCTATAACTTATTGAAAAGTGTATGGATCAACACAATTTTTTATGAGAAATAATATTTTTTAATAATCCCCTTTTCATTCGACATACTTTATCTTAATCAGGATATTAATAAGGAACTAGCAAATCATGTAGTTTTTGGAATAATCCACCAATTTTTTAAAATTAAACAGTATCTAAAGATTTGCATCGAAGCGTTTTTTTTTTATAGTGATTTTAATCACTGTCAGATATCATTATACTTGATTCAACTATGCCACGTCACCACTGTGCCGCGACTCCCCTGTGCTGGGTTTTTTTTTAGAATAATATTTGAAATTTTGATTTACTACATTTTTTACAAAAGACAGCTGTAAAAAAAATTAAAATATAAGTATACATAAAAAATGAGCAATAAAAATTATTTTTGTTACAAAAATGTATAATTATAAATAGAATACTAAAATGGAACTAACTTAACACTCAAATATGAAAAAAACGGTTTTTGAACTTTGCCAAAATATGTTAAACATTAATAATTATCTATTATAAGTAGGAAAGATAAATACATATGTTTTAAAAAATCTATCATTCATAAAAAATTGTATAGAAAGGAAACCTATGTTAGCAGTTATGAATACTAAAAACTGGTTAATAAATCATAATAATCATATAATAATTCAACAATTAGTAATTAAAATTATACAACAAATTAACTTGTAGTAAATGAATTTAAAAGAATATACTCTTTTCCAACAATTACAATTGAATATTTAAAAAAGTGCAAATAATTACAACAATAATTAATGAAATGGTTAGGTTAATTAATTAATTTAATAATAACTAAATAGAATAACAATTTTATTTTAATAAATATTAACAAGAAAAGAATTTAAAAATAACAATGCTAGATCAATGCTAACAATAAAAGATAATAAGTAGTGTAAGATAGTGATACATTTAAAATTATTTTTATTCATTCATAATGATAATTTTTAAGTATCAATATTATAATGCCTAAAATTGTTTTTGATCATTTGACAAAAGATAATAATTTGTGGATCTAGTTAAATAAATTCGTTGTAATACAATTCATAGTAATTATAAATTATACTTTATAAATAACTGTACTTGTATAGACATCTTGTATCATTTATTTTCATAGATTATTTGTGTGGCATAGTTAATCAATCACTCTGTATAGCGGTAATTGATTCTGCATCAAACCAAAAAATTAATTTTTTCCCAGTCACATACAATTTCTAATTTAATGATTATAGATTCATAGTTGACAGTTAAATAAAAATCAAATTATAGTGAAATGATCAGTTAATTTAGTGTTAAACTTAAGTTTAGTAGTCCAAAAGCCAGTTTAAATTATTTTTTTATTCTACTTAATTAATTTATTACAAATCACTTAATTATGTGTGTTATTATATGAAATATTAAAAAATTGACACACATACAAGTTATAAAGGATGAACATAAATAATACTCTATGATTGATATATTGAGAAAAACATTGAACTCAAAGATACCAATAAAATATTTTGAATATTATTCTTATTTTATGATTAATTAAGCATTTTATGTAAGTGAAACACTCTGTAAATAACTTGTCTATATACCCTATAACTCTATTCTTGTAATTCAATAAGTACATATTCTAAAGTTGTTATTGACCTATCAAAATTTTCTGTAAGAAAAGAATTGCTTGATAAAAAAGTGTGCTATTAACGTAGTCTAAAAATGCAAAAACTGTTTAAAAAAAATTACAACCAAGTGATAATTGATTAAATAGTTATTGAATTTTTCATATCTTCATGACTCACTATATAAGTTTTTTTTCTATATTTAATTAAAAATTCTTCTTTAAATTAAGAATTTTTATGTTATTTAAAATGATATTTTAATCAATACATATTTAATTTAATTTATTATTTGCAATATTATAGTNTGTTATTTAAAATGATATTTTAATCAATACATATTTAATTTAATTTATTATTTGCAATATTATAGTAAATTATTATTTATTTGATAAAGGTAGAAAATAGCAAGATCAATACGTGTAGTTTTTTTTTTTTTGAGCAATTTTTTTAATGTATTTAAGACCTACAAAATTCACATAATTTCAACATATAATTTTAATTTTTTTTTTTAAACATTAAAACTTTTAAACGACTTTAAATAAATTTTAACTCATCGGAGTAATATTTTATTTTTATTTTAAACTATAACTCACGGAAAACAGTCATGGTACGTAAAAAAACTTTTAATTTGATCTTTTTTTCAGTTATATCTTACTTTTTATTTTTATTTTTTTTGTAGCATTTAACACTATCAATATCCATACTAATGATCGTATTTACTGTACTACAAGGTAATTTTAATAAATATTTTGTTTGTGTTTCTTGATTATAATCTTATTTTATTATAACTCTATGAGAATGATCGTTATAATTTTATGAGAATGTTAAAAAACTAAGTTATACAAGGACCCATTTTGTAACAGAATTTTTTTTTAATGAATAAGTATGTAGGCTATTACATTTTTGGCCATTAAAAATTGTCCGGCATATGTTTTGTGTTCAAATTTGAGATTTATCATTGTGAAATATATTTATTACTTTAATTTACTTCGTTTTTGTACAAAAAAGTTAATAAACATTATTTTAAGTGTTGTATAAAAATACATATGATACCAAATTTTGTAATAAATAAAAAACAGATGATGTATATTTGGCCAAGAAAATAGAGTTAGAATAGAGGGCAATCTCAGGGGTTAAAAATATAATAAAATAGTAATGCAATATTAGAACGGTAATTATGATATACAATAATAATATAAGTTGGGTAATTGAATACGCAATTTGTATCAAAATTTGTATTTCCCTTAAAAATCCTTATGTCATGCAATAATATTACAAGTAACCCAATATCAATAATTTTCTCCGTTTATTAGATGCACTTCATATACAGGGTGTTCAGTAAGTCAGGAAACGGGTTTCTATTGTTCTCATTGTTTGTAACAATTTATAATAAATTAATTTTATTCATATGTAACATATGAATAAAATTAAGATCAAAATACATGTAAATAAACTTCTCATTCGAAAATTTTAAGTTAAATATAGATACTAATAATAGGTACTTTTATTTCTCTATTGTAAAAATTTAATTGTCGAATCTTAATATTTAAAATAAAAAAATATTTACTATTTGTCTACCGACTTAAGCATATTAATAATTGAAAAAAAAAATTATTAGTTTTACGTCCTTATATTTTCCGAACTTAACATGCCACAGGGGGTGGTAGCTCTATTTCACATGTTAGGAGGTCAAATATGGTTCTTTGATAGGCTAATGATGGCCGGCTTGCACAAGAGACCAGACACCCACTAATGAGAAAATCACAAGAAAATCTTGTTGCACCTTGGTGATCGAACCCAGGCCGATACATACGTTTCTATCCACAAGGCCAGGCCAAACCCTAGTCAACTCAACCCTACCCAACCCCTAATTAATACTTTCAAATAGGTTTGGTTTAATAACAATTAAGCAGTTACAGATCCTATTCAATTATTCCAAATTTAATTTAATAAAGCTATCGTAATGTTATTATTTTGGTTGATTGAGTAAGAATTGTTTTTTTCTAGTTCAAAGCAAGCCGTTATGTTGTAAGTAGTACTTATATTAAATTTATTAGAAATCAACTTTAAAAACAATTGATGTTAAATGGATACACATACTTATTTGGTGTGAAAAATATTCCTTGTTCTTTACTATAACAAAAAGCAAAATCGATCTAGGAATTATTCTACAATAATCCTGTTTCCCCTAACAATAGTCTACCCAAATATTTTTACCCAATAAATTGTCTAGTGCCATAATTTAATGAAAATTTAGTTTTTGTATTATTATTATTATTATTATTTAACATTAAGTTTTAATTTTTTTCGCAGGTTTATGTGAGTAAAAATATTGCAGTTAAAATCATCAATTGTTATGCTTAATACTAAAAATATATTTTAAGGAATATTTCAATACTACTAAAAAGATTAATACAAAATAATTTCAATATTTTTCTAACATTTTGCATACAAATTTATTTAAATATTTTGTTTCATTAATTTTGAAATATCTATTTCATATTTAATATTTTCGTAACAGTGTAAAGAAATTGTAATCTTAGTATCATTATTCATATAATCATTAATTAAATGTTTATATTATGAGATTATTATTATTTCCAATTGTTATTCGAGTTTACAGTTGATCATATTATGGTCAATACGATGACCCTTATTTATAGGAGAATTTTTTTTTTTTAATTCAACCATGTTTTACCATAAAAAAAATTAGTTTTACGAAATTTGGCTAGGATTGATCAACCCTAACACGTGCCGCTAGAGAATTGAATGTTGAACTCAAGGGTTGGTTTTTTAAGTTTTTTGTAGATTATTCAAAAAATAATACTCTTACCGTAAAAATGAACATAACATAAATAAATCTACTAATTGTCTATAAGAAAGTTTCAGACAAATTTTATCAAAAGTAAACTATTTGACCGTAAAAAAATAGAATTTGTACCTCTAAAATTTTTTTTGATACTTCTTCGAACTTTACAAAGAATTCTAAGGATTTTTTTTATAAAAATGCAAATATAACATAGAAAATAAAATCAAAATCTACTCTTGTAGATCACTAATTTCAACTTATTTTACTTATAGTATTTGATAAAATTGAATTTCTTTTCGAATTTTAAATCAATTTACTTACAAAGTTAATTTATAATCATAAGTACTGTAGTTTTTCATTAAAAAAATTTACGGGAACATGACATTTATGAGATTTATCTAGTTGAGCGTATTAAGAATCAAATAGTTGGAAATAAGTTACCATCTAACGGACATATACTAAGCGTACTTTTTTATAATTTACGGTATGTGCAGTTAAAATTACACTAGAGTTCTAAATTGGCTATTAAAATAACATGCTTCTATTGGCAAAAAGCTATAATTCCATGCCGAGTTGAACAACATTTTATATTAAAAATCGAAAAATTGTATCATACTTTAAGACAACTGCATAAATCATCTAAGAGATTAACTAAAATACAATGAAAAATATTAATAAATTTAATGAAGAACTAGACGATTTGTTCGATATATCCCACTTGAATGTGCTGGAATTGATTTCTATTAACAATTTTTGTTTACGCAAAAAGAGAAAGGTAGGCAAACCTGAATATTGTGTACTGATAATAAATTATTAAAAAAAAAAAATTTTTGATGAAAATTAAAAAAAAAACGTACTTATTCTGAGATAAATAATCGTAAGTTGAAACAAAAATAATTTTTATCTTAAAACCTAGTATTCTTAATCATTATTTTCAATTAAGATGTAACTATAGAGCTTAAGTCATCCACCAGTGGAAGTTCACTTGATGCAATTTATAATATAAATAATGTTGAAGAAAAAGGAGAAGTGCTCAGAACAACAGGCCCGTCAAAATTTCAGACAAGAGGTACTTCGCAGTTTTTAATTAATAATCTGTTAATCGCATTAGACAAATGTAAACTTACCGACCGTGACGCAATACATATAATCTTCACAACTGCTGAAGCTCTAGGTAACGATATTTTAAAATTATATATTAATAGAAAAACTTTACAAAGTGAAAAAAAAGATTTTCGAAAAAAATAGGCTAAGAAAATGAATACAAATTTTATAAATTATTAAACAAAGATAGCCTAGTGTAACATTAGGATGGCAATATGCTCCTCGATTTATCTGGAATGGTAAAAGTACATAGATTAACTATTTTAGTATCATTTGGTGAAGTAACTCAACTACTTGGTGTTTTAAAGCTTGAAAGTGGTTCAGGTGGACACCAAGCGCATGTGATATATGACATATTAAACGAATGGGATGTTACAAGTAAAATATATGCATTTTGCTGTGATACAAATGCATCAAATGCCGATTGATTTAACGGTGCTTATATTTTCTTAACTAATTTATTAGGTCATAATATTCTTTACTTACTCTATAGAAGATACATATTAGAAGTAGTTTTAAGAAACGTTTTTGAAGTAAAACTTAATTTGAGTACTTCAGGTTCTGGTGTACCATTATTTAAAAGGTTTCAAGAGTACTGACCAAACATTGATTCAAATATGTTTGACAGCGGTATAACTGATACATATTCTATGTTGAAAGATGAATGCAATAAAATTATTATATTTTGCACGGAAACAATAAAAATCTGACAATGCCGAGATGGTTATAAGAAGAGCGCCAATTTTTTTGTAAAAACATATTTTTAATGGTTATGTGCACAACTACAAAAGCAAGATATGTCAACGATTACCACAGTATAATGAATCGGAATACAAAATTTTATTCTGCATATAAATGTATATTATTCATAAAAAATCATATTTTTGCACATATAACTAATTAAAAATATATTTAATGAAATATATCAAGGAATTAAAAAATTTTGTTCATTTTAACCACTGCGATGATTTTTTTCTATTTTATAAAAAAGCATTTTTGAATACGTCGTACGATACTTCCCTATGTTACTACAATTTGATGATTGACAAAATTATAATGATGTACGAAAATTATTATTTCACTGTTTTTTATTGTTGTTTAACTGTCTATTACACACTTTTTACTACCCGAATAATTGATATTTAGTTACTGCAAAAATTATCACATGTTTCCCCTTAGTGATAACGAGTTATTGTTTTGTGTTTGAACTTTATTAAAATTAACAAATTACCTTTTGTATATTTAACTAATTTGCTTTGATTACAAACTTTTAACTTAATAAAATGACGAAACAACGATCCAAAAAAGCAATTTATTTAAAGGATGGATTAAACCTTGCAGTTGGAGAAGTTTTCACCGTTGATAAAACCTGGATTCATAATTACATACTAGAAGCAATCAAAACAATGGATTTCTACTGATGAATCTGTTCCAATGATGGTGAAGATGGTGGTGCCATGGCCCGGAAAAATCATGGTGACGATTGTTTGGAATGTAAACAGCGTCATACTTGTGGATTTTTTTTTAAAAAAGGAAGAACGATCACTACAGTGAGTTATTGGACCGCTTCAACAAAAAATTGAAGGAGACACGGCCGAATTTAACGAAAAAACGATGCTATTTCACCATGATAACGCACCAGAACATTCATTCGGAGTTGTCACTTGCATGAATTGTTGCCGTGCCCCCCGATCTGGCTCCCTACGACTTTTTCTTGTTCTCTAACATGATGAAATGGCTCGTGTAAAAAAAAATTAGCTTAAACAAGGAAACCATCGCCAAGACAGATGAGTATTTTGGAGAGTTCGACAAATCCTATTTTTTGGACGGGTTAAAAAAATGACAGAAACGTTGGGAAAGTGTATTTTTTTAAAAGGGGATTATGTTGAAAAATAAAAAAATTTTCAAAAATATCGTGTTTTCATTTCTAACACGGGTATATATTGAACCGCCGCCCTTGTACTACTACAACATTTTTAATTTTGTTAAATTTTTAATATATTTCTGTACCCTATTTAGGTTAAATTTCTTTTGCATACAAGTACATATTTGATGTTAAAATATATATATATAAATATATTGTATAAATGTAAAAGAGTATAAGCATCATATTTTAGGTATTTTAAGAGAATATAAATCTGCGCTCTAATTATAAGGTTTCTCTTGAGCTCACAATTATATTTTTAGACTCGTCACCCACAAATGGTATAACTTTTCGGTACCCTGGTGCTTTTAGTCTTGTGAAGTGGATATCAAAAGCCAATTGTTCACTTAAAATGTATTTATTTAGAAAAAAATTTAAACTTAAACTACGTGAAGAAAATTCTTTAAGATATATTTGTATATTATTAGTAAAAGTATACGTTGCGACATAATTAAAAGGTCCTAATGCTATAGAATCGCCATATGATTTAAATTTAATAAAATTATTGATTGATTATTCAGATTCGATTATTTCAAAAGCTGCCACATGAAAATTTTGTGATATCTTTCACCAGAAAATTTTACATTGTTTTTTTTTATGACCGAATATCTTTAGATGTAAAAATTTAAATGTCTGAAGCAACTTAAGAACTACAAAACACGAGTGATTCAACACAAAGTATAAAAAAAATTATTCTACAATTGTATCATCTTTAGAATCATTTAACTTATTTTCTAAATTTCAAATAGAATATGATTTTTTAAGTTTCATCCAGATATTTGGAATGAAAACAAAAATTATACAACAAAAATAATTGATCACACTTGTTAGTTGTAAATGATGTTGCTGAAATAGGGGTAACACTTGCCAAAACTATAATAATATATTGACAAAGGATAAAAGCCAAAACAGTTTTTGTTAGAAATTATCAGTGTTTATATTAATTATATTAATTATGTAGATTGTAAAAAAAGCACACCAATGAATAAATAAATATTATTCTAGTAATCAGTATTCTATCAAAAACTTTAAGCATGAGTCAAATAATAATTATTAAATTTCAAAAATACTTAATTGATTTATAAAACTTTTATATCTTAAAATTGTCTATGTGTAGTTTCGAAACCTAAAAACGTACATTTAAATAAAAAATTCTTTTAAATGTGTATAAGGTTCTGGTCCTAGCGCCACCATGCTACGCTCTGTCATATAGCTTTTCTTNTTTTGAGTTTGGCCTGTTACATATAAAAATTACCATAATATTAATGTATTTTTTTGTTTTAATTATAGGTCCACATGAGTACATCTATTGATCTACCGATACGAAATAGTATATAATAAATAACAAAATTATGAGTAATAAATAAATTTAACTTATTAATATCTGCATCAAAATTAATATCTTTATTATGGATGAATTGTACAAATCCTTTTATTAAGATTTTTATTCTATTTTTATATTTGAACATATTGTACAATCAATATGCAGGGGCGTTATTTGGGGGTGGAAATTTGTGAATTTTCCCCTGTCTAATTGTAAATGAAAAATAGGGCCGGGCAATTTACACTCTTGTTAACCTTGATACTTCGAAAAAGCTTATTCCTCGTTTGAAGTAAATTTATAATATAAAAGGAAAGAAAAAATTCTAAAATTATTTTGTGCATAACGTTTAAACCTTAGTTAGTAAAATTATATCTTAAAATTGTCTATGTGTAGTTTCGAAACCTAAAAACGTACATTTAAATAAAAAATTCTTTTAAATGTGTATAAGGTTCTGGTCCTAGCGCCACCATGCTACGCTCTGTCATATAGCTTTTCTTTCTATCAAAGGACAGTTTTTTGTATGCCAAAACAATACAATTCTGTAGGTCAGTTACAGCCTTTTCAGTGCATTGTTTCGACGCTAATCTAAGCTGTAAGTTTTTCAAGTCGTGTGAAAGATCTGCCTTACAATTATTCTAGTTTACAGGTTCCTATAGTAATCCGTTTCAACTTTATATATTTCCACTAAGATCCAAAATCAAAAAAAAGTGTCCAAAAATTATATTTTTGAATTTTAAAAAATTAAAAATTTTTAATCGGAGTATATTCTATACACACAAAAGTATGCTCATATTTATAATTTATTTTTGTAAATTAATTTATTCCCATACAACAAATTAAAAAAAAAAACAAAATTAAATTGATTATAAAGTGCCGTCATTTTTATTTAATCATCAATCAATCATATTTATTAAAACAAATTTCTTATCCATTCAGAGAAGGTGTGCTATAACTATCAATTCCTATTCATCTCTTGGTGAACATAACTATCTCTATTTTGTGTGATTTAGCATCTAGGCTATACTTACTTCACCACATCTATTATGTTGACGACCTGATGTTTTATTTATCTCACTATTTTTTATTATCTAATAACAGCCAACAGGTCACATCATTTAAATCTCATATTATGATAAAAATATTACAAAAACTAAATCTTTGCGGTATTAAAAATACACTATACTACATATAACAATTGTTTTATAACTTATTAATGACGTTCCTTTTATCATAAGCTCCTATGTAACAATGAAAACACCTACTTATCAATATTTCCCTAATCAGAATTATAGATATATTTAAAATATGATTTATATATTGAAAACTTTTAAACGATTAAATATATCACTGATTACTGAAAATATTTTGGTGAAAATTAGCTGCTACTATCTGCTATTTCTATTCATACTGGTCTATCAAAGTTTTAATTAAAAAAAAAACGTCCCTTCCTAATTTTTCTAGAAATTCTTAATACTCAAAATTTATATCAAATTTAGATTTTAAAATTAAATCAATTAAAATTAAAAATATATTTATAATATATTAATTTGAAACTAAAACATATTTAATTAAAAAAGTCACAAAAATTAATAAAAATTCGCGGATATATAAAACAATGTTACCTATATCAATTTAAACACACACTAATTACTAATCACATTTAAAAAATATTAATAAAATGATATGCTATTAATTATACATTTAAATTTGTTATTGACTATACAGTTTATTCCTTACTATGCCTTAAAAAATTCTTCAAAAATATTATAGCCATATTATTAATATTTTATTTTTTTAACTATAATGGTTTTTGTTTTTTAGCTGTTTTACATGAAAAATTAATTTTCTATTATTAATTATACTCGTATAAAATTTCGATTTTCAAATAGCAAACCCGATTTTTTCCATATTATTAGATTTATTTATTTGAAAAGAAGTTTTTTGTTAAATTTTTTTAATTATATTAAGATAAAGTAAGGTAAATTAAAACGAATTGGATAGTTGAAAATTTAATTTTTCTCATAGTATATTTAGCAAATACATATATAAATATAAATGAATCTAAAAAAAAACTATAGTAAATGAAATTTAGACAACCATAAAAAAAGTCATCTACGATAAAAGATAATAATTATTTCTATCTAAATTGGATATTCTCAAAATCACTCTACAGAAAGAATTTATTTAAGAAATATTGATACTTGAAATTATTTATACTTTAATTTTAGAGGATTGCCATGTTTGCGACAAAACAAATAAAACAATGAAATACAATGATGTGAAATGTACTAAACCAATGTGTCGAAATTGTCATACTGCCGTAAAACATAATTCTAATCTATGCACCAAATGTACGAATAAAGAAAATAAAGAGGTAACTATTGTGAAGAAAAAATATCAATAGTTCGATATGATATCGAAATAAATTTTGTAGGGCAGTGCCACAATTACTAATCTGGGAGACTGTGTTTTGCATTCTGTATGCAAAATGATTAATATTTCTTCTGTGTACTATATAAACTTTTAAACTTAACATTACACTTCAACGTCTATGTGCAATTGATTACACATTAATTATTTCACTTGAAATTTTTTTACCAGTATGCAATGTCATATTTTCAAAAGTGTTAGATAGTTATACATTCAACTTCTTATAGATGTTATCAGTTCGATTTTCATAAATACAATGTCTATCCGAACACAAATATAACGTTCATTTGCAATTAAATAATTACTATCGTGGAGGAATGAATTTGAGGATAATCGCATTATAAACATTTAATAATGAGTTATTGACACCATTGTGCCAAAAAAAAAAAAGGTTAACTCACGCATCCTATTACTAGACCGAATTTAATGACTAATATACATACCACTAATAAAAGTCGACATTAATATAGTTAAACCTATTGTCACTGAAAACTGGAAAAAAAACCCTCAAATTTACAAGTTAAAAACAATATCTCAAAATTACGCTACCGTAAATTATGGAAGTTTCAAAATTTATTTTCTTCATTTTAAAACGAATACAACTTTTTTAAAAATACTTATCCTAATGAATAATTAATAAGGTATACAAGAGATAAAGAGCTTTATTTTGGTATAGTTTTACGAAAATTTAATAAAAAAACCCAAGTATAGAAAGAGAAGTTTAAAAGAGACCAGTCACACATGAAAAAAAAAAGGTTCAACTCAATTTTTAAAAACATTTTGAAACATCTGAGAACTTTTATCTATACAAAATGAAAATTCTCGATGGGTATTACAATTTTCAAAAAAGAATAATTTTTCCCGACAATTATTGCCGGTACAAATTATTGTTCTACTATTAGAATTCACCCGTCAAAGTAAATTTTAACAATTTTAACAAAAAAAAAAAAACACTTCATTTTTAATTAGGTTCTTTAAACACACGTTATTATTGAAAAATAAAACATTTATCTACTATAAAAAAATAATTTCAGAATCCAAAATTTTACACAAAATTCTATAAGTTATTGATATTTTGTGTATCACATTATAGACAGTATTCATAAGACTAATTTTTAATAAGTAGGTTGCGTAATTAGTTTAACATATTAGACAATAATTACTGAATCCAAAATTTCACCAAATTTCCATTTTGGGTATAATTTTAGTTGTAGTATTCATAAGACTAATTTTTAATAAGTAGGTTGCGTAATTAGTTTGACATATTAAACAATAATTATTGATATGTACTAATTACCTGTGTTTGATGCGTTATTTTGAAAAAAATTAATGAAGTAATATGATAATTTAAGGCTAAGTTTGCTTTAACCTTAAATAATAAAATAAGAATTTATTATTTTTATAATATCACCGTAAAAATTATAATATTAAAATATTGAATATCAATTTCATACTAAATTTAATTACTAAAATTATTATTAATTCTTTTATAATANATGATCGTTAACCATTGTTAAATATCATCTTTACTTGTCCCAACTAGCTACATCTCTATTATACTAGGTTGTTTTTTTCTTATTCATAATACAAGCAATGTAAAAATTTATAAAAAAATAATAATAATGATAAACAAGTAATTAAATTTATTTAAAATAATTAATTTTTTTAAAACTAATTACTTAATTTTTCATTTAGGAACTGGAGNAAATAATTAATTTTTTTAAAACTAATTACTTAATTTTTCATTTAGGAACTGGAGAATACGGATAATCTTACGCGTCATAATGTTTGAAATCCTTACACTACTAATCCTCATAATGTAAAATAATAAGTATTACTACTGGTGGAATATAAAACAATTACTAAAACAAAAATTGTTGATTTTTTTTTCAAAATAAAATGACTACTCTTTAAGAAGAATTATACAAATTTCTTTAACTATTGATAATTAATTTTTGTTATTTAAAAATATTGGTATCCAATTCAAGGGATTACATTGTTTCATTGAACAACTATCATCCGGCACTATGAATTGATTTTACTTATATATTATGCCGTAGAGTGGGATTATTAATCGTAATAAATCGAATGATCACTTTTATATAATTTGTTTGATATATTTAATATTGAAATCTACATAATGAACATTGAATTTAAACAAGAATGAGTAATTATTACACACATTTTAGTTTTTTTTTTGTTGGTATAATTAAAACTTAAAAAAAATTATTTAAACAAACTTGTGACTTGGAGCGCGTCGCTGATGGTCCAGCGGTGGAACGTACACTGAATTTACCTATGCTCAGTATACATGTTGGCGGCCACATAACAACAAAAAAAAAATAAAAAGATATAATAGTACATATATATATATATATATATACAGGGTGTTCAGTAAGTCAGGAAACGGGTTTCTATTGTTTCATTATTTGTAACAATGAGAACAATAGAAACCCGTTTCCTGACTTACTGAACACCCTGTATATATATATATATAAACAAATTTTTATTGTTTATTATGAGATATATAGAGTTANATCTAAAAAAAATTTTGTATAATAAACATATAATCAAACTCAGACATTTTTTTTATATAATAGACATAAATTCAATTTATAAAAAAAAAAAATATACATATATATTTTTTACTCTTATCATTGATCTTGACTTCGATGAGGAGAGGTTATAATAATTGATATGTTTTTTTGGAAACACCATGATTTGTCTTAACAGTTGCTAGTCTGGCTATATCATCCTTTCCTGGAAACAACTCCGTAATGCGTCCAAGTCTCTATTTCCATGGTGATAGATTAATTTCTTTTAGTAAAACAAAGGCGCCAACAGCTAGTGCGAGACCGATTGAATTGTGTCACTTAGATTTTCATTAAATGTTGACAAGTATTAAGTTCGCCAGCGTTCCCATACTTGTTGTACCAATTGCGTGACTCTTTGCCATCGCTTTAGTCACCCAGGTATGATGTTTATTATGTCTGAATTTAGGATATCAATTAATGATCAACCGATGAGAAATAAGCTGCAGTTAGTGCACTAAAATCTGAAGTATCCATAGACAATGGCATGAAGGGTTGTGAATTTAAACGCACTTTGATGCGAACTAATACAGTGTTTAACTCCTCATAGTGATGTTTCTCTCAATGTTTTCGTTAAATGTCCCTTTACTGATTTATTTATTTATTAAACGGGACTTGCCCAATACAATATTTTATCAATTTTTAGTACATAACAATTGAAAAAAAGTATTTACAAAAGAATATTTAACTACAGAAAGTTTTAAGTAAACACACAAAGATCATTTAAGTTGAAAGTGGTAAATAAAATATAAGAGTACCTATAAAATATATTGAACAAGTATCTAATAACTAGTAACTCAAACTTGAACTACGGCATTATAAAGGAGGGGTCCATGTAGGTTATTCTCATCATGTGGATTATAGGAGAATGAAGGAGATAGATTGTGGAAAAATAGGGGATTAGGAAGGGAATATTTGAACGAGTATAGCAAGGAGGAACTTTAAGGTTTATGAGAGATAATAAATCTGGGAAATCAATAGTACCTAAGAGGAGACCTGTTAAAAATGAGAGGTTTAAAGAATGCCTTTGATTAGCAAGAGTATAGAGGTTGAGGAAATGAAGAATAGGAATTTNAGAGTATAGAGGTTGAGGAAATGAAGAATAGGAATTTAATTATGAGGAGGATGTTGGATAGAGAATTTGGAAGAAACGAAACGTAGGAACTTACGCTGTACACGTTCTAACATATCACTAGCACCAGAAGAAGGTGGGTCCCATAAGACACAGCCATAATCAAGAATCGGACAAACTAGGCCACAATATAATGATTTAAGGCGAGAAACTATGTGGAACTCTTGGGTTATGCGAAATAGCATGATTATCTATAAATAGATAAACCCAGGATTTTTAATGCTTTGCTAAAAATTCCTTCTATGTGTTTTATAGGGCACAAGGTACGAGTAAGGGTAAAACCCAGGTCATGAACAGAATTTCCAGCAAATTTTAGAGGAATATCATAGATTGAATAAGAAAAATAAATAGGGTCACTTTGGCGTGAAAAAGTCATTGAGGAGCATTTGTTAATGTTAAGGGAAAGACCTAGGGACTTGCTCCGCATAACTAAACATTCAAGATCTGATTGGAGAATATGACAATCGGACAATTAATTAATGCGATAATATAGTTTCATATCATTGACAAAAATTAGTAGCTTGGCGTGGTGAAGAATTGAAGTGGAAGAATTTACAAATAAGGCAAAATGGAGGGGAGAGAGAATAGTACCTTGGGGGACACTTGATGAAGGAGAAGAGATATCGAAATAAGCACCGTAGACTGAAACGAATTGGGATCGATCAAGTAGATAGGAACGAAGTCATGAAAGAAGAGGTTCACCGATACCTAGATGGTCTAAGGTGTTTATTAGTAAGGAGTGATCAACACGATCAAAAGCTTTAGCGAAATCAGTGTAGATTACATCAACCTGACTATGAAGGCGGAATGACTCATAAATTTTACCATGATTTTATATAATCATCATCATGCAAACCATGATTTTACTGCTGACTCCTATAAACCACCAATGTGTGATGAATGGGCCGGAAAAAATCGCAATTTCATATTGACAGAGGCGAGACAATTTTTTACAGCTTCTTTGTGATTTTTAAATATACATAATTTTTTAATTCCATCAATTTATTGGTACTACCTACGGAATCTGTAGCGTTATCTGAATATATAAATCTCCCAATATCACGACAACTGCACATTTGTTTCAATGCGCTTAAAAACGCATCTGTTGTTAAGTCACCAACTAGTTCAATATAAACGTTTTTAGATAAGAAGTATACGAAAATATATAAATATGCCTTTATTTTAGTAAAGTTCCGGCGTAAACTATTTTTAATATAGACAACCACACAAAAATCATGCAAGTTGCATGAGATACTTTGTTAAATCTTGTAAATCGAGTGCTCGATAAGTTGCCCATAATTGGTTGAAATACCATTGGTCTAGATTTTAAAAAAGGTATGCATTTATGCATAGTGTATGCGCACAATAGACCAACAGGTTTGAGTGCATAGGCATTATGTCCACCTCGATAATAACTATCCACAGTGTACCTTGCTATATCTTGTCCATTGATGGGTCAATAGTGTTCGCGAATAGCTGCAATAATGCCCGTGATCCAGCATGCAGTAATTGAGTATGTTTATATTTAAATGTTAGTATAGTGAAAGTATACTAATGAAAGTAGTTTGCTGGTAATAAAATTGGATTTTTTCAATCACTACTGATAGGCAGTGAATTATTCAACACAAATAAACCATTATTGTCAACGAAAGGATTAAGAAAAAAAAATTCACTTGTCCTTTTTATTGACATTCCTTTATATAAACATTGTAATTCTTAAGAAAAATATTGAGATTGCACGATTAACAACAATTTCAGTGTAGCCTGAATAGTTTCTTCTGGATCGACGTAGACAATGTAATTATGTTTTGAATTTGAGGACAGTTAATCTTTCAAGATTTTTCTCCATCTTAAATCATACGCTGTTGAGTAATTTAGTTAATGATGAAAATCGTTCAGTGATATTAAAATGCTCAATTTTTGTTAATGTAACCACAATTTGCTTTTCTTCTAAATAACCTTTTTCCATTATAAGTTCTTGACAACTGTTACTAGGCCGACTCGTCATGAGTTAGCCACGTTAGACCTGTTCACCATAATTTAATTTATGTTAGTGGATTTGGACTATCTGTCAGATTATCACTTGAGCGCACGTTCTTCCATTGTGCAGCCGTGGAAGTGTTATGTATTTCTTCCACGCGGTGAGAAACAAACGTTTCCCATCAGTAGGATGGTGAATTTACACATGCAAGAACGATTTTTGAATCTGACCAATACCATATTTTACTTGTACAGCAATTAAGTTTTAGACCTAACTTATTGACGAGACACACCGATAATACGGCGGTACACAGTTCAAGTCACGTGAGTGAAATAATTTTTAACAGACCTACTAGCGATTTTGACGTAATAAGTCGAATTATGCACAACCCGTCTGCATCTGTTGTCATTAAATAAATACAAAATCAGTACGCAATCACAGATGCGTTCGCAAAAACGTGAATTTGCATATCGCACACGTTGTCACAACTGATTATTACAACAGCATATAGTATGATATTTCTTTTTTTCATTCTTCCATATGATTTTTTATGTATTTATCCATAAATTCAACGTACTTTTCACGAAGATTGTTATTTTTTTGTAAGTTATTTTCTGTAGCTAGATAACGTCGCCGCACCATTGACTTTGAATCACCAAGTGTTTCAATGCTGATTTTTAGTGGGAGTTCTACAATAAATATTTCTTGTGTTGTCACATTTTACTGTTAATTCAAAGTGTTCGACACATGACCTTGACTATATTAATAAATAAATAAATAAATAACTGCAATATATAAATATTTAAATAAAAATCAATAATGTTCCTTTGGCTCGATAAATAAATATAATAATAACAATTGTCACTTTGACACAGACAACAATATAAAAGATAGACTATAAACCCAGCAATATGTATAAAAATAAATGTTTTCAATAGTTAATCAATTTAATAATAAATATATAAAATTCAACTAAAAAATAAACTATATAAATTTCAACAATAATAAATACTTTTTTCGATCACACAATGAAAAACATCGAATATTATGAATAAGAATAATTAACAAACTATAAAATATAAAAATGAACTGGGCAATAAAAATAAATATTTAGACTAAATGAGAAAAAAATGTTTGTATATAGGAACCTTTAAAGTGGTAAGTGTGAGTTTAAATTTAACTAGGAAAAAAGGAGGGTAATAATCTTATTCTCTAAGGAACTTAAAGCGTCTAGAGGCCAGAACACTGGTCAGCTGCAACGAGCACTTGAAATAAATTTGTTACATTATAATAAAAAATTATTTATACAGTTCCTTTAAATAATATAATAAATCACAAAAACACTAGTTTTCTAATAATTAAAAAAAAATAAAACTTTAATTTACGTATCTGCTCTTAAACTGTTAACAAAAAATCATACACATCGAAATTAAATCTAAAAACATGTAACACTGAAAAATATAAACTTCATTTCTTAACCTAAATTATATGCTGTAGAAGGAGGTAAGAAAGGAAGCAAGAGTGTCGGCTATATGCTTTTGAAATAGCGTAAGTACCTGTAGCCGCACATAGAGCGCGACACCTAATCGGTTGCGCGTCAACATCCGCCTCCTTAAAGCCCTGAGCTTCAGTCATCATCAGAAGCGGAAACAACCTAACCAACGCACTCTCAATTCCTGATCACTTTCTGTGCGTATAATGACCACTCAAATAACACCATCCTTCGTTTTATTAAGTCCCCTACAAGTGAGTGGTTGAGTTTTATAAAAACACTAAGCAATAACATCGACATTACATCAATACGAATTTAAAAAATATGTATATAAATTTTTTATTATAAAAACAAATAATAAAATATATGATTTAAATTAGTCTATGAATGTAAAAATTATAACGAAATTTTGATTATATAAAAATTTGTCAGTTAGATCTGTTCCACTCTGTATATCTATGCCTTATATTAAAAAAAAAATTGTACACTATTGTAACTTATTTATTTGTACAAATTTTATTACCATTTTCATTATGAGGTAAGCATTGTTAGTTTTCACAAGTGTCTTTCTGAATGATTCAACACTAGCATATAACACTATATAGCAATACTAGAGTAATTTATGATTTTTTTGTAATTTCTGTGAATAAACACATCATTATTCTATATTTTGTATAAATTATATTATCTAAACATGTTTACTCTGACATTTTTATTAAAAAATTTAATTATTTTTAATGAAATAATCGGTATTTATGTTAAATATTAAATAATTTTTAAAAATTATAACATATACGTTTTTTTGAGTAATACCAGATATTCTAGATCATAACAAGTTACTCAGATAGCAATCTCAAAACAATAATTATTTTTGTTTCAAAAACTAGTTTAAACAATGTAATTATAAAATAGTATTTTAATTTCAAGTGCACTAATTCTTTTTGAAATAATTTGATAATTAAAATTTTAAATAGTAAATGAGCAAATATAATAAAAAAAACTCAATTTTATATTATTTTGGCATAGTATATTAATTTTATGTACAACGTTTATTTTTAATGACAATATTTCACAATTATTAAAGTATCAATATTAATGGGGAATTAATATTACGAAAATTGGTTTTTATTCTGACGATATTTTGATTTAGTGTTTTTATTTAATGTCATATAAAATTTTTTTATTAATAAATAACTTAACAATAACATATAACGTGTGAAATACACATGTAACTAACAAAATTTTAAAAAAATGTAATATTTTAAGAGAAATTGAGTGTCTAGCGTTGAAATCTGTAAAGCTTTTAAGTTGTACAACTTAAACAGTCAACCTGTATAATTTAATTAAAATTTCCTATAGTATGGTAATATATTTTTTATTTGATAAAGACAGAAAATATAATTGTAGTTTTTTGTTGACATAATTTTGTAATTGTATTAAAGACATAAGAGTACACATAATTTTAACACATAACTTTAATTTGTTTTTTATATAATACATTAAAACTTATACTCTTATACGACCTTAAATAAATTTTAGCTTGTTTGAAATTTTTTCATTTTCATTTTAAACTGTTTTTATTTTAAAGTTACAGTAAATAGTTATGGTACGTAAAAAAACTATTAATTTGATCATTTTTTAATTTTATCTAACTTGATATTATTTTTTAGGATTTAACACTATTAATCTCCATACTAATGATCGTATCTACTGAAGGTAATTTCAATTGAGTTTATTTTAATAAATATTTTGTTTGTGTTTCTTGATTATAATCCTACTTTATTATAACTCTATGAGAATGATCGTTATAATTTTACGAGAATCTACCAAAACTGAATTATGCAAAAACTCCTTTTGTAAAAGGATTTTTTTTTTAATGAAAAAGTATATTAACAATCACATTTTTTCCCATTATAAATTGACAGACAAATTTTTTGTGATCAAATTTGAGATTTATCATTTTAGAATATATTTATTTTACTATAATTTACTTTATTTTTGTAATAAAAAGGTAATAAACATTATTTTTAGTGTTGTATAAAAAAAAAAAATAAGATAACACATTTTGCAATAAATCAAAATATAGCATATAATATGTAAAAAAAATGGAGTTAGAATAGAGGGAAATCTCGAGTTAAAAAACATAATAAAATAGTATTGCAATATTAAAATGGTAGTTAAAGTACACAATAATAATATAAATTGGGAATTTAATAACTGATACTAAAAATCCTCATTAAATTTTCTAGTCTCCTTATGTTATAATATGCAAAAAGTTGTATGTAATATAAAATGATCAATCAAGATTTGTTTGATTTAAAAATTTACATGTCATGTAATAGAATTTCAAGTAATCCAATATTAATAATATCCTTAGTCTATTAGACACACTAGCGTTACTTGATAGTGGCTAGGAGGAAGGTTTTGCCTAGTATACACAAATTTTTAGTTTACACTCATGGATGAACGAAAGAGTAGAAATTAAATAAATATAGTTTTTTTAAACTATATTTTGTTTTACATAAATAGCTCGATAGTATGTTTTTGGTTAAAATATTGTTAAGGACAGGGGCACTAAATATTATAATATTATAATATAATGCATACCCGAACCGGCTAAAAGCACTTAATACCGATCAGACTATGTTGTGTAATGCCGTGTAAATAGAGTCACTGGTGGTGGGAGGGTTCACCTGCACAAAACCAGTGATCTATATTGTGAATAAATGTGTAAGTGTGTAAGTGTGTTTTTGTTTTTTGTGTTTATAGAACTCTTAAATTAATTAATGTAGATTAAACTTGACTTTAGTATAATAATCTTTTAATAATTGTATAAATAGAGTGTAAATGTAGCTTATTAAAAATAACAGTAGTACGGACATAGTATCATATTATATTATACGTGAGGCATATACGGCGGCAGCGGCAGTAGGAATATATAAATGAATATTAATATATACGTATATATATATATATAGTAAAGTGACTTAAGTACGAACAAATATTTCATACACGAGGCATAGCCGTATTTTGTGGGCAGGCGGTGCGCGTCGAGAACACTATACGTGAGGCATATACAGCGGCGGTGGTAAGAATATATAAATAAATATTAACATATACTTATATATATATTAGGGTGGTCCTTAAAATACAAATTTTCTAAATTCGATTTACGCGGACCAAAAAATTGTTCTAATACATGTAAAAATAAGCTGTGCAAAATTAGGTCCCGATAGGAGGTTGACGTTAACACGTGCCGCAAGAGGGTTGAAAATTCGATCAAAAGGGTAGTTTCTCAGTTATTGTATTTTATCTCAAAATATTTTATTTTTACGTAGAAGTTTATAAGAAATAAATTATAAATTTAATTATTTTACATAAAAAAGTTTCTTACTAAATAACTCATAAATCAATTATTTACTCCCTAAAAGTCAAAAGTTCCATAAATATTATGTTTACCAGTAAAATTCATATATTCGGCAACTTAAATATATACGATGAATTGTTCAAGTTATAGAAAAAATTTTCACGTAAAAGTTGTTTTAAATTTAATTTTCTATAAGTTTTGTAGAAAAAAAATTGTTTTATTTATTTTCTGGCGAGGTAATAAAGAAAAATTATAAATAATAATCATTTTTCTATGATAATTAAAAAAATGTCGATTTCTTCCATTATCAAATAACATATACTCGCAAATCCATATAAACACTAAAAGAACATATTTGAAAACGATTTTAATGCATTTAAAATTACTATCAAGAATTTTTCAATCTATTTTCAATTTATTAATCTTACACAATGAAATGTGTAATTTACCATGATATAATAATAAAAAGTACTCTACCAGGAATCGTGATTTCAAAGATCATTACTGTTGCAATATAACAATGTATTGATGACACGGTTAAGTTAAAATAGTTTTGTATGCTAAAGTTTATGTTTATTTTATTTATTGTATTAATTTTTAGTTTATTAGAAATTTTAATACCTACATTATATTATTCCAAACATTTTTTATATCATTCAAATAAATTTTTATAATGGCTTTGTGCAGCTATTATTACATTTATGTACACAAGATGAAATTTATTTAGTAGGTAATATTACAAATCAAATTGTAGACAGTAAATTACCGTAACAAGTGTTTATACTTTAACTTTATGTTTAATTAATTTGACAAATAACAATTAATGTTATACATTAATGTGGTTAATTACCTGCCGGATGAAGGCGATTATTCCGTCAAAAGATTAACACTTTTCTGTTCACAAATAAGAATTTAATACTTTTGGTTTTGATTAAAAAAGTAATATTATTACAATAATTAAATTGCATTTACAATTAAGAAAACAAATAAAAGTAAATTTATTTTGTACAATAAAAAAAAAGAACCAGATGGATTCAATTGACGAATATCAGCGAAAGAAAAGTAATGACAAACAATTTATCATACACATCACAAATACAAAAGCAATAGTTGCCGATAAAAACGATAAACAGAGAAACACTAACACTTAAAATTAACTATTTACAATAACAGATGACAAACACGCGAGAAGGGAACGGAAAATTTTTCAGTGCTTTAAGTGTTTCATTTTACAACTTAAGACACGTTAAATTAAATTTGTATTATAGTGCTAAATTAGTTATTGGTGAAGTTTCATTATTCTGGCATAAAGCTAGAATTCCGATTAGGGAAGAACATCGCTGTGTGTGTGTTTTTTTTTAGATACATAAGGTATCATTTTGTAAATTTTTTTATAAATCTTACCCTTTATCTGTCCACAGGAGGGGATTCAAAATGACAACTTTTTCAACATAACTTTTGAACGTGTTCTGGAAACTCTGACACTTTTATATATGTATCTTAAATTAAAGTTAATGTAATGTACTTTATTATGGAAAAAGAAAATGTTGGACATTATTTTGTCTTCATGATAAAATGGCTACCGATTCTTATTTGTTGAATATTCTCGATTTTATATTTTATATGTTTAACTTTATATCTATATAACTTTTTGAAAAATGTATGGATCAATACAATATTTTCATGAGAAGTAGTATTCATATACATCTTCCTTTAGACAAATTTTTTTTTTAAGTCGGACTTTATTTTGTACTCATAGTGAAAACAGACATCAATTTTAATAAAAATAAAAGCACAGTGAGGACGTGGCATAGTTGGATTCAGTATAGATGATATCTGACAGTGATTAAAATCACTGTCATAAAAAACGATTCGATGCAAATCTTTAGTTAGTGTTTAATTTTAAAAAGTTGGTGGATTATTCTAAAAGATACATGATCTAATAAATATCTATATAATGGGAAATAATATATAATTATTATTTTTCTTAAAAAAAAAAAAAATAGTCCATACATTTTTCAAAAAGTTATAGCATTATAAAATTAAAAATATAAACACGAATTTATTTACAAAAATCGTATTTTTATTATTAACTTTGATGTTTGTTTTTACTATGAAGATAAAATAAAGTCCGAAATTTTTTTTTCCATAATTATGTAAATTACATAAGCTTTAATTTAAAATATATATAAAAGTGTCAGACTTTCCGGAACATTTTCAAAAGTCAAGTTGAAAAAGTTGTCACAGTGATTAAAATCACTATCAAAAAAAAAACGCTTCGATGCAAATCTTTAGATAGTGTTTAAATTTAAAAAATTGGTGGATTATACCAAAAGCAACATGATCTGCTACTTCGTTATTAATATCCTAATTCAGATAAAGTATGTCGAATGAAAAAGGGATTATTACAAAATATTATTTCTCATAAAAAAATTATGTTGATCCATACATTTTCAATAAGTTATATCATTATAAAGTTAAATATAATATAAATAATAAAATCGAGAATTTTCACACAATAATCGCCTTTGGTAGCCATTTTCAAATTAAAGTATATTACATAAGCTTTAATTTAAGATATATATAAAAGTGTCAGACTTTCCGGAACACTTTCAAAATTTAAGTTGAAAAAGTCAATTTTTTGTGAAAAAGTTGTCATTTTGAATCCCCCCCTGTAGGCAGGTAAAAAGTCAGATTTATAAAAAAAATATACCAAATGATAGGTAAAGACATCATGCATCTACAAAAAAAAGAATTATATTGATCCATACATCTTTCGAGAAGTTATAGCATTATAAAGTTAAAAATATAAAAAAGAATTTTTTTACAAAAATCGTATTTTTATTATTAACTTTGATGTTTGTTTTTACTATGAAGATAAAATAAAGTCCGAAATTTTTTTTTGCATAATAAAGTACATTACATTAGCTTTAATTTAAGATATGTATAAAAGTGTCAGACCTTCCGGAACATTTTCAAAAGTTAAGTTGAAAAAGTTCTCATTTTAAATCCCTCCCTGTGGGCAGAAAANAAAAAATTAATTTTTTGTGAAAAATTTGTCATTTTAAATCCCCCCTTGTGGGCAGGTTAAGGGTTAAATTTATGAAAAAAATATACCAAATGAAATTTTATAATATTATGCATCTATATAAAAAATAATTATATTGATATGTTCATTTTTAAAAAAGTTATGGCACTTTTAAGTAAAAAAAGTTGAAAAAATTTCAAAAATTAGCGATTTTTAAATTTGTAATTTTTTTGGAGGTTTCCTTCATTTACGGGGAACAAGGGAATTTTTTTCATTTTTTGAGGGTAATGTCTTCGATTAGATACGATTTGTGATCTTTTGACGTATCATTAAAAGAAATCGGTTCGGTGAGAGCTGAGAAAAAGTGGTAACAGACACAAAAAAAAACACATCTTAGTAAAACCAATACCTTCTCAGCTTCGCATCGAAGCTAAAAATTCGGACTTTATTTTGTTTTTATGGTGAAAATGAACATTGAAATTATTTTAAAAAATACGATTTTTGTAGAAAAATTCTTTTAGCTTGATCTAACGTCACCACTGTGCCGCGACCTCCCTGTGCTGGGTTTTTTATACACTAACTTTATAAAGCTATAACTTGAAAAATGTATGGATCATTATATTTTTTTTGAAGAAGTATTATTTATTTATATTGCACTTATAAATCACTAATAAAGCTTTTGGAATAATCCATTATTTTTTATAAATCTGAAATTATTTACAGATTTGCATCGAAGTGATTTTAATCATTATCAGATATTATCTATACTGAACCTAAATATGTCACGTCCCCACTGTGTTCGGATTTTTTTTTTTTTGGTTAATTGACTAAGAATTGTTTTTTTTTCTAGTTCAAAGCAAGCCATTGTGTTGTAAGTAGTAATTATTTTAAATTTATTTGAAATCAATTTTAAAAACAATTGATGTTAAATAAATAGACGTATTTTTTGGTGTGAAAATTTGTTTATGATCTTTGCAATAAAAAAAGCAGAATCATACTAGAATGATCCTATTAACCGTAGCAATAGACTAATAAATTTTTTAACCAAACAAACTGTCAAACTTGTGCTATATTTTGATGATAATTTAGTTCCTATATTATTATTATTTAACACTTTTTTTTTCTTTTGCAGGTTTATGTGAGTAAAAATAATCCAACTAAAATCATCAATTTGTAATGTTTAAACTAAAGATATGTTTTTATGAAAACTAAATATTCCAAAGAAAAAAAAAGTTGTGATAAAGTTATATGTACAATATTTTGCTAACGTTTTGCATACAACTTTTTGGAAAAATTTTGTTTTCAATTTCTTTCAATCTATTTCATAGAGTGATAGATAATAAATCCGGATTTTCTTGAAATCCGTAAAATTCTAATTTTAGGTTTCGAACTTCAGCATAAAAAACCGGAATTTACAAAGAAACTGGATTTAAAGATTAATTCCAAAGTTTGAACTTCAAAATTAGACTTATAAACTTCATAAAACTCATACTATCATTAATAAAGAGTAATTTATTTATCGCTAACCACTAGATTTCTTCCAAAATTATAATAATTTAGAGACATTTTTCTTTAGTTTATTTATTTTGTTATTCCAACTGTCTTAAATCCAGTAGTCACTATATTAACTGTTGATAAATCACACCTAAAATCTAGAATTGTAAAGGAAAAATTAAAATCCGCATTTCGGATAAAAAAAATCTGATTTTCTAAACTCCATTAAGTCCGTTTTTCCTCATATAAAGTATGAAATTTTCATATTTCATATTTTCGTAACAATGTGAACATTATAATCTTATTTATTATTCATTTATTATTTATTATTATATTATGTATTATTCAACCATTTTGATATCATAATAATAATAATATTGAAATTTTATCTATTATATATTTTAATAATACAGTATATATTTTTATAATGAGGATATTATTATTTCAAATTATTATCTGCATTGTTTTAATGTGCTATGTTATTTTAATTATATTATATTTATCTATAAATAAATAAATAAATAAATGTTTTCATTTAAATGTTGAGTTTGACCTGTTCTGTATAAATATTACCGTAGTATTAATACGTTTTTATGTTTTAATTATAGGTTTAAGTGAGTACATCTATTGATACGTAGAAACATAGTTAAGATATAAAAATAGTGTATAATATACAATAAAAATACGATTATACGTATGTATACTACTTGTTAATATCTGCATAAAATTTATAATATTAATTATGGATGTGTTGTACAAATTGTTTTATTGTAAGTTTATTATAACTTTATATTTGAACATATTGTGCAATTAACACGCTGGGGCGTCCTTTAGGCGTATAAATTTAGTCATTTGCTCCTGTCTAAATTTTAATATAAAAATGACTCCGTTTAATTCACATTTTTGTTGAATAGATCATACTTTGATAAAGCTCATTCTTTGTTAAAAGTCAATTTGTAATAATCAAAGAAATCTTATGATTATGAACTTTTTCATAATAAAAAGAAACACTTAATAATTAATAACATCTAAAAGTAACAATTTAAGAGATTTATTAGGTAATTCTTAAGATAACGTTGAAAAGAAGGGAAATCGGACATTAATTAAACCATTTCATATAATCTTTGATATTAAACACAACACTTGTTTCCCACCAGGCTCCTACAAAAGAGGAAAATTATGATTTTCTATTTAAAAAACATTAGACGTACCTAATTTACAATATTATTAAATACTCATTTAATTTTATAACAATAATACATATTGAGTAAATCCAACCTAGTCCTCTCCGTATCATTTCATTTAGATCCTCCGAATATCAGTTCAGTTCCTCTAACTAAGCATTCAGTTGTTACACGTCTCCGTACAATGAACCAATCTGTCAATTTCCATCTCCAACTGACAAGTACATATACATTATAAGAGCAATTTTTCGCCACTAATCAACCGCCAACTGCGCTGATTTAATAAACATTCACTTCGCAAAATAAAAGTAAAAAAAACAATAATTTTTAATTAAAGGAAAAAATAAAGTTGATACATCATAAGAGTATCAACTTTAATAATAATAAGGAATAAACATAAAGATATATTATGATCGATAGATTAAGGAAAACCAAAAATTCTAAATATTATATTTATCTTTCAATTAAGTGGTTCATGATAAATGAATCACCTTGTAGTTTTAGTTTTAATTATTAGAGAAATAAGCAAAAACTGTCCATTCAAGACCTTTAGGTCCATTGTGCGTATCTTCTACCGAATTATATTATATCAGTTTCTTCACATAAGTATTTCCACCGAAGTGTTGTTGTCATTGTTGAATACTTAAGACAAAATATTATAAAGGACGTCCTACTACACCTATATTCAAAAAGTTATATCTTTGTATCGAAATCAAGTATCTCTTTCGTTTTTAGGTTTTCGTTATACTCTTTTTTGGGAAAAGATTTTCCCAAATATTTAGATCTTAATGTGATCAAGGCATCACGCATAATGTAAAATTAATTAGGCTGAGAGACTCATATCACTGGATAACCGAATGATAAAATCATTTTGCTCATCTTTAATAAAACTTTATTTTTTCAAATATTAATTATAATTATATAGACGCACTTTAAAATGTATTATAACAATTACGAAAACGAAAAAAAATTATTATATAGTTTAAGAATCAAATCTTGATATTCTTCTATTAAATATAATTAAAACAAAATATCATTATTAATTATGACAATTGAAATTAACAATAATAGTCACAAACTTATTTTACATCACCCTTATCCTAAACTTTCATTTAACACGATTTCCCACACAATATACACACACATCAGCAGTCCTCATATCGCATTCAATTACATCACTCCATCTCTATTTTGGTCTTCCTTTATTTCTTCTTCCTTCAACATTAACTTCCGTAACTGTTCTTATAGATTCTAAATTCTCTCTCCCCAAAAAATGACCTATTCATTTAAGTCTATTTTCTCTCATCTTATTCACGATTGACGCTACACCTATACTCCCTCCTATATGTTCGTTCCTTATCCTATCTTCTCTATTCATTCCATTAATCCATTCAAGCATTCTCATTTTTGTTATACTTATTCTATTTTCTTGTCAAAAGCCCAACATTTTAAACCATTTATCATAGCTACAGTCTTATAAAACTTACCTATCAGTCTCATTGGAATTCTTTCATCACATATCAAACCAAACGTTTCTCTCCACTTAACCCAACCGCACATAATCCCGTGTCTTACATTGTCTTACAAATCTATAAATTCCATACACAGCTTTTTTTTCTTTTCCCTAAACTTTTCTATAAGTTGCCTCACACAAAATAATGGCTCCATTTTTTATTCATTAGGCATAAATCCAAACTAGTTTTTAGATACCGATGTCACATTTCTTATTCTCTTATTAATTACCTTTTCCTAAATTTTCATACTATGATTCATAACAGATATGACTCAATAATTTCCACACTCCTCTATCTTTTATTAAAAAGGTCCTTCAACCACATTATGCCAATACTGCCCAATATTTTCCATACATCTACTTGCATTTCATTTGGTCCTACTACTATATTCTTTTTATTGATGCCACAGCCTTTCATACCTTTTTCTCACTTATTAAATCTTCCAGTCCCTCGTTCTACCAGATGTCCTCTCATGTCTCTCTTGGATACTTTTGGTTCAGTAATTTTTCCAAATAGTCTTTCCACATTTTTTTTTACATCATAATCGTTTGTTAGCCCCCCTCTTTTCATCACTTTTTATACACCTTACATTGTGTTGTAAGATTTACTCTGTGTTTAGAGATAATTTTCTGCGGTATTGCATTATATGATCCAGATAGCCAAGTTAAGGAGTCTGTTCGTGAGGTTATTAACGGTCCGGCATATATAATATATATATCTTAGGGTAGATAAAAAAAAGTCTATCTTCGAAATTTTAATGAGAACTATTTTAAATTTTATTAAAATTTGAGATTTTAAAAAAAAAATTACTGGTGGCTTAACGTGTTTTTAGTATTTTGACCGAAAATACCCTAAAAAAACAAAAAAACGGCCTCTGTTATTTCATTTTTGGTCAAATATTATGATTAGTATATCAAAAAAGTTTGATTTTTAATGAAGAATACAAATTTTTTAGTTTCAAAATTTTAAGTCAAAAATTGATAGCTTGGATATCATAATTAACGTCATTATATAGTATGTTACTAATAGGTCTCAAGTAAGCTTAAAATTTTTTTAAATTTTTTTTTTTTATGCAGTTTGGCTGATATTTATGTATATTATAAGTACAAAAAAAATTCTTCACTTATCTTAAAAACTTATACCTTTTTTTATAATTAATGCATAAGCTAAAATATACGATATTCTTGAAAATATGAATAACTGACGATTGTATTTACACACTTTTCAAATACTTTTTTTTTATTAAACAATTCATTTTTTAAGCTATTCCTCTTTCTGTTGGATCATTTACTACAAATAAGGATTCAATTTTAGTTAACTTCAGTTAACTTTAGTTAGTTTTTGCCAAATTATAATTTGAATTTTGATGCCATTTTTTGGAACCATCGTGTAATAAGTCATCATTTATTTTAAGAGTTAAAAAAATTGTTTAGTGTTTCTGTGACAAATTGATGTATACCCTCATTACCCTTTACTGTTTCGATTCCAATTTGTTTTTTTGGATTGTGATCTCATTTTTTATTTAATGCTTGCATCATTTTAATTTTTACAACTGTTAATAAATCTTCGTTAAAAAATTATAAAACAACAATTATTTCATTTAAGTACCATAAATACACAGAAAAAGCTTTTATCGCTACCTCACTTACATACTTATTAATATTATTATATTGCTTTAGTTCTCGTAGTAGTTTAAGGTCTTTATTTGGTACTTTTGTTGATTATGAACTTTCGAAACAATATCTTGTATAAATTTTTAACAAATTAATTCAAATACCGAATACTCTTTAATTCAGAAACTGTTAATTTAAATTGCGTACGGAACATATAAATTTTAAGACAATACATTATATTTGCCATCTGTCTTGCTCTATGAATTGCCCCTGGTGGATGGATTATAATTTTTTTTTAACGGTTTTCCATAGAATAATAAACAATGTTAGCTGTTCACAACTGATAGATGTTAAATTAACATTAGATTAAATTCGATAACATTATTATACATTTTTCAAAATTACAGATAGTATAATCTTTAGTATAATTAGATATGCAATAAGTGAAATAGTTACGGTACTCGAAAAAATATGAATCTATATCGAACGAGCTATCAATAATAGCCAAAGTAATTTTTTTTCTTTTTCATAATTATTATTAAATTTATATTGATGTATAATTTTATCATAACATAAAACTGTATTATTATTAAATAAAAAATTAATTGTTTAATAAAAAAAAAATATTTGAAAAGTATCAACAGTTATTCATATTTTCAAGACTATCGTATATTCTAACTAATGCATTAATTATAAAAAAAGGTATAGGTTTTTAAGATTAGTGAAGAATTTTTTTTCTACTTATAATATACATATATATCAGCCAAACTGCATAAAAAAAAAGAAAGATTAAAAAAATGTTAAGCTTACTTGAGTCCTGTTATGTTGACGACCTGATGTTTTATTTATCTCACTATTTTTTATTATCTAATAACAGCCAACTGGTCAAATCATTTAAATCTTATATTATGACAAAAATATTACAAAAACTGAATCTTTGTCGTACTAGAAATATAGTGTACTACATAATGATAGTGTTTAATGACTAATTTATGACGTTCGATTGATAAGCCCCTAGGTAAAATTAAAAACATGTATTTATCAATATTTCCTTTATCAAAGTTATAACATATACATATAGTTATATTTAAAATATGTATTCATTGAGTTACAAGTTAATTTATAAATATCATTTTAAATATATCACTGACTACTGAAAATATTTTGGTAAAAATTAGTTGCTACTATCTGCTTTTCTCTTCATAGTGACGCATCAAAGTTTTAACTTGTTCAATGCAAGTCATTTATAATTTTATGATAATTATAACTATGGCCGTATGTACTGAAGTAATGAATAAGAGTTATCAATCTAATATAACATATTTATCTAATTTTAATAATAATAGAACTAAAAAAAAGTTTAAATTAACCCATTGCACAGATATTCAATTATTAATATTCAGAATATGATTTTTTTAATTATAAATAGGTTATTTAATTAATAAACTTTTTAATTTTTGAATATCTATGCCTATTAATGGGCGCATAACTAAACTTTATTGATTATAATAAAAAATTTATGGGACATTTATACGTATTCCTCTATTAACAAATGAAAGGTTAATAAAAATTATACATGTGCAAGTATAATATATCATAATCACATCATCCTAATGATTTATAATTTTTACATATCGTTTAAAATTAAAAATATATTTATAATATTAATTTAAAACTAAAAAATATTTAATTTAAAAAGTCACGAAATTTAATAAAAATTTGAGGATATATATTTCGGGAATAATGTTACCTATATCAATTTAAACACATGCTGATTACTAATCAAATTTAAAAATATTAATAAAATGATGTGCTATTAATTATACATTTCAATTTGTTATTAATTATATAGTTCATTCTTTAATACGCCTTCAAAAATATTATTGCCATATTATTAATATTTTATTTTTTTAACTATAATGGTTTTTTTTTTAGCTGTTTTACATGAAAAATTAATTTTCTATTATTAATTATAAATTACCTTATACTCGTATAAAATTTCGATTTTCAAATAGCAAACCCGATTTTTTCCATATTATTAGATTTATTTATTTGAATAGAAGTTTTTTGTTAAATTTTTTTAATTATATTAAGATAAAGTAAGGTAAATTAAAACGAATTGGATAGTTGAAAATTTAATTTTTCTCATAGTATATTTAGCAAATACATATATAAATATAAATGAATCTAAAAAAAAACTATAGTAAATGAAATTTAGACAACCATAAAAAAAGTCATCTACGATAAAAGATAATAATTATTTCTATCTAAATTGGATATTCTCAAAATCACTCTACAGAAAGAATTTATTTAAAAAATATTAATACTTGAAATTATTTATACTTTAATTTTAGAGGATTGTCATATTTGCGACAATACAGGAGCCACAACATACACAGATGTGAGTTGTTTTAAACCATTATGTGTAAATTGTCATAATAAAGTACGACTTCAATCTACTCTATGCTACGAATGTATGGATGATAAAAAAAAGCAGGTAACTAGTGTTAAGCAAAAATATCAATAGTTCGATATGATATCGAAATAAATTTTATAGGGCAGTGCCACAATTACTAATTTGGGAGACTGTGTGCAAATGTTCCCCACAATCTCTCCTCACATGAGTTTTGCATTCTGTATGGAAAATGATTAATATTTCTTCTGTGTGCTATATAAACTTTTAAACTTAACATTACACTTCAACATCTATGTGCAATTGATTACACATTAATTATTTCACTTGAAATTTTTTTACCAGTATACAATGTCATATTTTTAAAAAAGTTAGGTAGTACATTCAATACATACAACTTCTTATAGACGTTATCAGTTCGATTTTCATAAATACAATGTCTATTCGAACACGAATATAACGTTCATTTGCAATTAAATAATTGCTATCGTGGAGGAATTAATTTGAGGATAATTTCATAATAAACATATAAAAATGAGTTTTTGACACTGCTGTGTCAAAAAAAATGTTCATTAGCATATTCTCTAGCGTGGTAAAAATTAAATAAATAATTAGACATAACGGAAATTATAAACGTTCCACCTTGAAATTTGTGACGTTACAAAAAACCCCTTGAAAAGATTTGAAATAAAGTGACAAAACTTTTCAAAAAGAGGAATCAAACATTCAAAGTCGAACTCAACTATCAAATAAAACAAAAAAAGAAACAAACAAAATTAAAATATACCAAGAGAAATAAAAAACAAAATAAATTAACACGAATAGAAAAAAAACAATTAAGTCAATTAAATATCAAAATCCGATTTTCGTGTATGTATACGTTAATTTTTGTAGCACGGATTAGATATTAAAATAATTCATTATATTTTTAAATAATAAAAAAATTAAGTTAAGTTATACTACTCATTACACTAGTAGCAGATATAAAATAAAATAAAAAATACTGCGGAACTGTACAAATATGAATGAGAAACGTTATGTCAATAATAAAAAAATCAACTGAATAATAAAATTATGTGAGCGCCGCAATAAAACTAAAATTTAAATAAACTCGAAAAAAAACAGAGTTAACACAAGATAAAATTTTGACGATAATATCGATACGTTAATTAATATAAGATAATCTGATTCAATTCGAAATTAACTATTTTAACCTAAAATACCGCAATATTACATAAAATTGAAGTATGAATACTGTCAAAATAATATTTTCGGTAAATGCAACGTGATCACAATGATGTGATTCAATAAAATCTTTTGCTTTAACTGGTATAAGTGTTCATCAGCTTCTAAGCTGAAAATTTAAATTTTTAGCTCTGAAAAGAAAACCTTAGCTGTACCCATGATAAATAAAATTTAAATAACAAAGTTTTTTAACGGGGAAAAATTCAAACAAATATCAAATCCATTGACAAATGATAAATAAGTCAAACAAAAATAAATCAATAGACAGCCGGGTAATTACTCGGTGTAATTTGACATAGATGAATTTAATTAAATGTAATTTGTTGGTCAAAAGGACGATTTTGTTTAAAACGCTTAAGCTCTTGAACAAAATTTAAGTTAAACTGTCCGGACAGTGAAATATATAACAAACTCATACTGTATGGGTTAATAGTTTAATTTATGATAAATAATAAATCGAGAACGATTTATGTAATGTAAAATAACTGTGGTAAGCCGGAATTGACGTCGCAATAAACTGCATATTAACGCAAAAAAATATAACAATTTGTCTCACACAATAATTTTTGGAACAAATAATTGTTCTACTATTAAAAATCACCCGTCAAATTTAAAATTTCGCAATTTTTACATAAAAATTACTTTATTTTCGATTAGGTTCTTTAAAAGTACGTTATAATTAAAAAAAAAAAATTATCTGCTATAATAATATAATTACTGAATCCAAAATTTCACCAAATTTCCATTTTGTGTATAATTTTAGTTGTAGTATTCATAAGACTAATTTTTAATAAGTAGGTTGCGTAATTAGTTTGACATATTAAACAATAATCACTGATATGTACTAATTACCTGTGTTTGATGCATTATTTAAAAAAAACTTATGAAATTATATGACAATCTAGAGCAAAGTTTGTTTTAACATTAAATAATAAAATGAAAAGTAACATGCATAATATTTGAGTAAAACTTAAACACATAGCACTTGTAAAATTACAAATATACAATTTATCGTGAAATTTCTTATATATGCATCGAAACATCTTTTAGGGTAGTGATATTAACTAGTGATGGGCATTTTTGAATATTTTAAACTATCGAATACTATTCGATAGTTTTGAAAAACTATCGAATAACTATTCGAATTGTTTTTATATTATTCTTCCGGGCAATCCAAAGAGACGCCTCAAACGCAACTGGTCAAGAGACCTTCTCAATATTATTTAACCCACTTAAAATTAATAACACACAGGTGACTCTAATGTGAGCTTCCTCCTCACCGCCATATCATTGTCTATTTTATTCCTATTCACATATTTAATTATTGTATATATAGCTGTATAGATTGTAAATTTTCTAATAAACGTTCTTAAAAAAAAAAAAAAAATTGTTTCTATACAACCGAATAGTGTGCTTTTAACATAGACTATCGAATAGTTTTAAAAAATATTTAAATAGGCTAGCGAATGGTTTCAAAAAATATTCGATTATTTCTATCTAAAATTTTTATTAAGTACACTTAATTATAATAAGAAGATATTTAGCGAATACTTAAAATAAATTATTATACAATTAATAATAGTAAAATGTACCATTTTATTTATTTTTAATTTGTGAGCCGTTGGTAAAAACTGATAAATATGGGTCGAAAATTAAAAAGCAGTTCTTTTTTTCGATGACTAATGATATATTTTCAGTTTTATCGGAAAGGTTTGTTCTATGCGCAACATATTTTTCGTAAATACTTAAGTCTTATTTTACACTTAATACCATGTATACTGTTCTTAGTCTAGCATTACCTGCTTTTTTGTCTTGCAAAGGCATAACACCGATAAAGAGGACAGCGCGTTTTTAATTTTTACGTTTGTAAATTGTGTTTATACCACCGAATATTTTATTTTTATAATAAACTATCAAATATTTTAAAAACTATTCGAATATATGCGCAACTATCGAATATTTTTACTATTCGAATAGTTTTTAAATGACTATCGAATAGTTCTATAGTTATTATTCGATATTTCCCATCACTAATATTAACTATTGTTAAATATCATCTATACTTGTCCCAACTATGCTACATCTCCACTGTTCTAGATTTTTTTTTATTTATAATTTAAAGTTCATGATACCAGTAAATGAAAATTTACCAAAAATAAAAATAATGATAAATAAGTAATTAAATTGATTTAAAATAATTATTACTTTTTCATTTAGGAACTGGAATTGATGCGAAATCGTGCGGTATTTTATAATACAAATCCTTACGAAGAAAACCCTTTTAAAATATAATAAAGAGTATAACGATTGTTGGAAAAAAAACTACTAAAATAAAAATTGTTAATTTTTTTTTTTTTTCAAAATAAAAATATTATTTATTAAGCAGAATAATACAAATTTCTTTAAATGTTGATTATTAATTTTTGTAATATAAAATATATTGGTATCCGGTTCAAGGGATTACTTTGTTACATTGAACAACTATCATGCGGCATTATGAAATAATTTTACTTCATCTTCTTCTTCTTCCTCGCCTGAATCTCAACTACGTGGGGTCGGCCACCTATATCCTAAACTTCCACTTGACACGATCTCCCACATCACTTACGCTCACATCAGCTGTCCTCAAATCGCATTCAATAGCATCCTTCCATCTCTATCTCTTCTTCCTTTAAAATTCATTTCTATAACTTTTCTTATAGCTTCAGATTCTTTTCTCCTCATAACATGACCAAACCATCTAAGTCTATTTTCTCTCATCTTATCCACGATTGACGCTACATTTATACTCTCTCTTATATGCTGACACGGCACTGCCTTTTGCTTTAGGCTGGCGCTCACCCGTGTCTCTCTCGATATCAGCCGTCCAGCTATTAATATGACAATCGGTTGTTATCGGTTGTCTCCCCGCCCTTGACACTGAGATAAGGCCGCCGCCGAATATGGATTACCGATATTGCGTTCTGTTCGGTTTTCGACGTACACCTCCTCTGGTGTGTTTCCGTTGTTTTGAGCTGTGTGTGGTTTCCTGGTGGATTAAGATTCGGTTTGTCTTTCTTTCTTTTTTTTTGTTGATCGATGTAAGGAAACTATATCGCGGAATATATATATATGTATATATACATCTTGTGTGGTCATAGTGGTAGCGAACGGGATAACTATATATATACATACTTATATTTATATATTTATATTTATCTGTACGGTCGTAGCAGCGGATTACGCATTAACGATAGTGTATCTATACTCCGTACTATCAACTATAGTGTGACATACACATCTATTTATCCATAATTATATATATATATATAATTATATCTTGTGCGTGCCATATTGGATTACGCGATAATGCTTGTTCCTTATTCTATCTTTTCTAGTCACTCCACTCATCCATCTGAGCATTCTCATCTCTGCTACACTCATTCTCTACTCTACTTTCTTATCAACCGCCCAACACTCTGAACCATACATCACAGCTGGCCTCACTGCACAACTGACCCTAAATACTTAAAACTCTTCACCTCTCCAATCACCATCATCATCACAATCACAATCGAAAATTAGCGATTTTTAAATTTGTAATTTTTTTGGAGGTTTCCCCCATTTACGGGGAACGAGGGAAATTTTTAAAATTTTTGAGAGTAATGTCTTTGACTAGATACGATTTGTGATCTTTTGACGAATCGTTGAAAGAAATCGGTTCAGTGAAAGCTGAGAAAAAGTGATAACAGACACAAAAAAAAAAAAATAAAAACGCATCATAGTAAAATTAATACCTTCTCAGTTTAGCATCGAAGCTAAAAATTGACATGCGCAAACCATAATCATATTTGACTTAAACTACACGTGTAAGTCGTGTAGTTATTACACACGAATTAAAAAAAAGCTCATAACTCGGTCAAAACCAATAGATTTTAACGAAACTTTCAGTGTACTTTTAAAATTTCTTTAGGCAAACCTGATGAAAATTTTAGGTTCAAAATCGAAAAACGCTGATGGAATTTATGGTTTTTGATAACATTTTTTAACGCTCAGAGTGTACTAAAAATATTTTCTCATCTTTGGTAATAATATTTCCAGATTAACGTCGTTATGCTATTCTATTAAAAAAAAAATAAAAGTAGAAAAAAATTCCCATAAATAGGAAAAATCCCCAAAAATAAAATTTTAAATCGNATAAAATTAAGGGAATAATAGTTATTGTTGTTTTTGAAATAATCTACCAATTTCTTAAAATTAAACACTATCTACAGATTTGCAACGAAGCGTTTCTTATAATAGTGATTTAATCACTGTCAGATATCATCTATAATTTTGCCGACTATGCCACGTCCATACTGTGCGGCGACTCCACTGTTCTACCGTTTTTTTTTTGTGTCTGTTATCACTTTTTCTCATCTCTCACTGAACCGATTTCTTTCAACAAAACGTCAAAAGATCACAAATCGTATTTAGTCGAAGACATTATCCTCAAAAATTGAAAAAATTTCCCTCGTTCTTTGTATAGAAGGAAGCCTCCAAAAAAATTACAAATTTAAAAATCGCTAATTTTCGACATTTTAAAAATTTTTTTTACTTAAAACTGCCATAACTTTTTCAAAAATGAACAAATCAATATAATTATTTTTTATATAGATGCATAATATCATTACCTTTCATTTGGTATATTTTTTTTTTTATATGTGACCTTTTACTTGCCCACAGTGGGGGATTTAAAATGACAACTTTTTCACAAAAAATTTACTTTTTCAACTTAATTTTTGAAATTGTTCCAGAAATACTGATGCTTATATATATATATATATATCTTAAATTAAAGCTTATGTAATACACTTAAATTTGAAAAAAAGAAATTCGACCTCTGGATTTTTCTTCATGATAAAAATGACTACTGTATTCAAAAATATGCTATTTTTGTGTTAAAATTCTGGGTTTTATATTTTATTTTATTTTAAAATACTTGACAAGGGGAGTATACAGATTTTCATAAATATTATAAAAATCAAATCAATATAGCATAGGAAGTTAAACTAATTTAAAATTTTTTGCTTTTTTAAGACGAGAAAAATAACTTTGAAATTTTAGTTATCTTAAATTTCCATCTTTCAATTGACGGGAGTGACGTACGATTGCCGAGTCGATAATACTTGTGTTTTACGCGCTCGGGGTATAAGGTTCCAACCCGCGTATGGCTAAGAATTTTTTGCATTTTTTCTTAATTCTTTATAAGTTTGATTAAATTTTCAACTCATTTGATTTATATCTCATTTAGATTCAATAACTTCAATAAAGATCAAGGATCCCCTCACTGGAGTTGCCCCTCGCGAAAAGAAATTTCTTATTTAAATTTTTATAACAATAAATTAAATAATAAGACTTATATTTAAAAAAAACTCTTCATAAAATTATACGGTTTAGCATACAATATATTTTACATTTATAAATATGGATATTTAATGATTTTTACAATCTTTTTATTAATAGAAAAACTAATGTTGATCAAATATCTTCCGGTGGAATGGCATAATGACCGTAAGCCAGCGTGTCAACTCTGTTGTCGAGCGTGTAGCGCTTATTGTCGAAATGGTTACGAGTTGGGGTAATTTTTTTTTTTTCATGATAATATACATTAAATTAGCTTTAATTTAAGATATAAATCAAAGTGTCAAACTTTCCGAAACACTTTCAAAAGTTAAGTTGAAAAAGTAAATTTTTTGTGATAAAGTTGTAATTTTGAATCCCCCCCTGTGGACTGGTAAAGGGTCAGATTTATAAAAAAAATATTCCAAATGATAAGTAAAGGCATCAAGAATTTATAAAAAAAATTATATTGATTTGTTCATTTTTGAAAAAGTTATGGCAGTTTTAAGTAAAAAAAATTTTTAAAATGTCGAAAATTAGCGATTTTTAAATTTGTAATTTTTTTGGAGGCTTCCTTCTATACAAAGAACGAGGGAAATTTTTTCAATTTTTGAGGATAATGTCTTCGACTAAATACGATTTGTGATCTTTTGACGTTTTGTTGAAAGAAATCGGTTCAGTGAGAGATGAGAAAAAGTGATAACAGACACAAAAAAAAAACGGTAGAACAGTGGAGTCGCCGCACAGTATGGACGTGGCATAGTCGGCAAAATTATAGATGATATCTGACAGTGATTAAATCACTATTATAAGAAACGCTTCGTTGCAAATCTGTAGATAGTGTTTAATTTTAAGAAATTGGTAGATTATTTCAAAAACAACAATAACTATTATTCCCTTAATTTTATCCCGATTAGCTATTTGATTTATAATTATTATAAAAGAATTAATAATAATTTTAGTAATTAAATTTAGTATGAAATTGATATTCAATATTTTAATATTATAATTTTTACGGTGATATTATAAAAATAATAAAGTAGTTGTATATTTCATTACTTCTAACACGTATAAAAATTTTAAGAGCTTGACGCAATATTTTTTTGCATTTTTATTGTAATAGATAACTTAAATAGAAGTAATAGTAATCATTTCCTAATAACTTTTGGTGTTTAAAAAGATTCTGCAATTGAAATATCAGAACTTAATTAATTTTAATGATTTACTTTAACTAAATGAACCTATCAAAACAAAGTTATTAAAAGATTTACTCAATTGAACGTATTATAAAACTTGATTATAATTGTGAAAATCCATTATTACTTCAGGAGAAACTAACAATCATTTTATTTAGAAATAATTTATATAGCAACATGTTACCAAAAAATTTGGAATATTATAGTTTAGTAGTAGCACACACAAATAGGTAAAAAATTATTAAATTACAAAGTAAAATAATTTAATTTTATATTTGAAACCTATTATATCAAATTATCATATCAAACTTGATTCGTCAATAAATATTTTGAATACATTAGAAATGAACGATTTTAATTGTATTTATGGAGAACATGGGATAAGTAACTTTTTCATTGATAAATAAAATTTATCAATAATATTTATTTATAATAAAATTTTTCAATTTTTGAGGGTAATATTTTCAACTAGATACGAATTGTAGTCATTTGACGTATCGTTGAAAAAAGTAGGTCAAGTAAGAGCAGAGAATATAAATTATAGTCACAAAAAAACATCAAAATAATGGTAACTCTATATTTTTCAATTTTGTATTGTATTAATTTGATATTGTACCTGTATTTTAAGTAAGTAATTTTATTATTTGATAAATTTTAAATAAATCATAGCCAATTTTAGAGAAAATTACTATAGTTTTACCAATATTTTTGTAGCTCAAAATTTATAAAACATTTAACTATGATATTAATGATTTAAAAATGGAATATAAAAGTCTCTGTACGCTATTTTTACTAAGTTTATGTTTTTCGTAACTACTTATATAATAATATACAGGGTGATTTTTTTATCATAACCCACTCAATTAATTGCAGAATAATAATAATTTAAACATTTTTTTTTTTCATTATCTTTAGTTACATATTATTTTTGAATTTTTAACTATGTAATACTTTTTTAGTTCATCCCTTATGCCTTGGAAGGGGGTCAACTTTGTTTTTTTAAATGGTAACACATATTTTGAATTTAATAAAATATTTGAGTTTTTAATTTAATAGTAAATGGCATTTGAATTTTTAATATAACTTAATTCGTTTATTAGATATAATCATTTAAAGTTTCAAATTTTCGAGTTAATATATAGGTATAATACACAAGGAATTACAAATACAGGTAGCTAATTGATTTTTTATGACATCGATATTAGCAGGTACACAGCATTGTTATTATCAATGATAGTAAGGCACATTGTTATGAGTTTATAAATACACTAACTGACAATACAGAAAGTATATCTATTGATAATCATAATTGATAATAAACAATCCGTGACTAAGACAGCATTGTCATAAAAATCCAGTTAACTACCTGTATTTACAATCCCATGTGTATTATACATGTATATTAACTCAAAATTTTGAAACTTTAAATGTTTATATCTAATAAGCTAATAAAGTTATATTAAAAATTCAAATGCCATTTACTATTAAATTAAATACTCAAACATTTTATTAAATTAAAAATATGTGTTACCATTTAAAAAATCAAAGTTGACCCCCCTCCAAGGCATAAGTGATGAACTTAAAAAGTATTACATAGTTAGAAATTCAAGAATACTGTGTAACTAAAGATAATAAAAAAAAAAAAATGTTTAAATTATTATTATTCTGCAAGTAATTGAGTGGGTTATGATAAAAAAATCACTCTGTATAGGAATAGATGTTCACATAAAAAATTAAAAAATCATCGATATTTAGCAATTAGTAAAATAATTTCGTTATTTTAGTTATTTATCCAATCTACTATAAACAGTCACGATCGCGATAAATTTCGTTCCTATCCCTCAGGACACCAAAAAATAATAAAAAAACAAAAAAAAGAATGTATAAAAAAACAACAAGGTTTGATGTTGCAATTTCTTCAATCATCACAGTCGTCTTGTAGTAATGATAATTTTAATAATGAAGAAGAAATTTTAAATGAAAACGTTGATATCTTTTTTCCCCATTCTAATGAAATAAGTGAAGAGCCAATATCACATAATCTTGATTCAACAACTATTTTAAGTCCTATTAAAAACAATGACCTAACAGACCCTTATAATTGGCCAGATAGTATAAATTCCGACCTAAGAGCTGAAATAGTCAAACTTGGACCAAAGAGAAAAATTGATATGAAATATCTTCTAAGCAAAATTGATAAAGCTGAAAGACAATTTTCTAATAGTTTCTATTCAAGAAAATTATCTAATGGTGAGTTTATTGATAGGCAGCGGCTAGTATACAGTATTTCGTGTGATTGCGTTTATTATTTTTGTTGTAAACTTTTTCCAAGTCATGAAACGAATCTACGAATAAGTTTTTTGGCTAATATCGGTTTAAGTGGCTGGAAACATTTATCTGAAAGATTGAAAACTCATGAAATTTCACGCGCACACGTAAAAAGTGCACTAGATTGGTCAGAATTACGACTACGATTAGGAAAATTAAAGACTATTGACAAAGCTCATCAGATAGTTATCGAAAAAGAAAAGAATCATTGGAGAGAAGTCCTAAAACGTATTATAGAGGCGATACATTTTTTGGCTAAGCATAACGATGTATTTAGAGGTTCCACGGACGTTCTTTACCAACCTAACAACGGTAAATTCTTAGGTCTGATGGAAATGTTTGGCAAATTTGACCCTTTCACTCTTTCCACACTTTTATCACAATAATACTAGTATTTTTCGTTCATTATTGTTTTAAGCTTACAAGAAAATTGTAAATTACCCACTCCCGAAACATGGTGGTAGTGACGAAAAATGACGATACAGAAATCATCCTTTATAATCGGAATGAATACACTCTATATCTCTTATGAGAATAAAGCGTGTTAATATATATTGTTAATAGTAATTAGAATATATATATATACATGTAAAGCGACTTAAGTACGTAAACGTATCATTCACGAGGTAGAGCTGTTTTGTGGGCGGGCGAGGCGCGGGGGAACGTTGTACACGAGGCATATGCGGTGACTATAGGAATATATATATACACATACATACATACATATATATAGTAAGGCGACATAAATACGTAAACGTATCATGCACAGGGTATAGCCGTGTTTTGTGGGCAGGGGGAACGTTATACCTAAGGTATAAACGGTGGCAGCGGCGGTAGGAATATATAAATATGGGGTGACGGTATTTTTTTTTAATTTCGATATTTCGGTATGATATTTTTTACCGATGTGAATCGGTATATCGAAAATATCGTTAAACCGGTATTTGGTTACGGTAATTTCGATATACTCGATATTTCGGTATCTGGGTATTTCCGATATTACATAATAATATAATGTTACATAATAACATTAATATGAATTAATTAATTTATAATTAAATTTATAAAAAAAAAACAAGATCACAAATTATTATTTTATTTAATTATTTTGATACAAATTTAGAGTTCATAGATAAAAATATGAGTTCTTCGGAATGCTCTGTTGATAGAATGATCTATGATCAGTAATTATATTGCCCGCACAACTGAATACACGTTCGCTTGGAACACTAGTACCCTGCACGCATAAATATTTTTTACCAAGTACGGCCAAAGTTAGAAATTCATTTTAATAGACTTTCCACCACTTTAAAGGGTCTGACTCTAAATTTATAGGTTCCATATTTTATGTTCAATTCGATATAAACGATAAGATGCAATTATTGTGATAAACAACACGCAACGATAAAAACAAAATAATACGAACCCATATCGGTATTTAAGATATATATATTTAGTATTGTAAATATGTCATATATTTCTCACTGGAAATTTTGAACAATCTAAAAATAGATTAAAATATTCAATAACTAATTTCGGTTTTCGGTATACTCGATATTTCGATATTTTTGGGATTATCAGTATATTCGATATTTTCGGTATATCGTATAAATAAAAAAGACGGTATACCGGTATACGGTATACCGGTATATCGACCTCAAATCGGTATACCGGTAACACCGTCACCCCTATATAAATATATATACGTAAGGCGCATTACATGCGGGTGGTATTGGTCAGTCAAAATAAAAATTTGTTTTTATATATATATATATATATAATTAATGTCACGCACGCTTGTACGGGTACGAAAACCAAAAATATAAAATTATACAGAATTAGTGTTGCCGGCGATTGGTGAGCGGGGTGGGGTGAATACGTTTTGACGTCTAGTCTAGACGACGGGATACGCGAGATTAATAACACGTGCAGCGTGGAAAGTTACAAACACAAATCACACATACAAGTGAAACTAATATAAGCGTGTTAAAAATACTGCACCTCTTCAGGTACTTACTGAAATAAAAAAAACAAATGCATTTCCTAACTTGAATATTGCTTTACGAATCATGTTAACAATTCCGCTTACATCAGCCGGAACATGGAGAACATTCTCGAAACTAAAACTAATTAAAACATATTTAAGAATTAGCATGTCACAACAGAGGCTTGCAGGACTTGCTACAATTTGCTTAGAAAAAGAACTTTCAGAACAATTGAGTTATGAAAATATCATAAGTGATTTTGCATCAAAAAAAGCCAGAAAAATGATTACTTGTTAATATTTAATATTTTTGATTATTTTGATTTTATTTACGTATAATTAGTAATATACAGTAATTATTTATTTTAAAACCGATTTTGAGTTAAATCGCTACTAAACTATAACACTATCGCATAATATTTTTTTAAAACCCCCTTTTTTTTACTCATCCATTGACAAAAAAAACAGGTCTTTTAAAAATTTCAACCCAGAAATAGAGATAACTACTGGGGCCCCCTCACGGCTAACTTGCGCCGGGAATGGTTCTTACCATTTTTATTGTATTTATAATATTGTATAATGTATCTCCGAGCTACTGACGTCAAACAAAAAAATCAGTATTGTTTTAATGCCCGTTATAGATGTAATAAATATAAATTGCATTAACTTTGAGATTTTTGAAAATATATGGAAATAATACATCTTTAATTCATTTTTGCAGATTTACATTTAGAGTATTAATTTTAAATACAAATAATAGAAAGAAATTAGCTAAAGAAAATGTTTTGACTGATTGATCTTATGGCATAAAAATAAAGCACGATAGCACAGTGTGGATGAGGCGGAGTTGGGACAAGTATATATGATATCTGACAGTGATAAAAATTACTATCACAAGATACGCTTCTACGCTAGTCTGTTGATAGTGTTTAATTTTAAGAAATTGGTGAATTATGCCTAAAGCAAAATTAACTCCTATTTTTTGTTCTTATACAACTAAAAATAGGTCGTCAGTACAAATTTTTATTTTGAACTTCTAGTACATAATCTAATCTTTATTTTAACATATATTTAAATAACGCAGTATTCCCTGAGTATTTTCAAAAGTTAAATTGAAAAACTTCTACTTGTTATACAAATTATCAAAAGAGCTTTTCTCAACTCTGAAGAGGCAAAATATTCTAAACAATTATAAATTCATAATTAATGAAAGTTGGATTTGTGTAAATTTTATAGAAAAAAATAAACAACATATATGTAATACGGTAGTACAGAGGGATCGCGATACAGTATGGACATTAACTTAATACATTGTTTAATTTAGAGCGCGTGTATATTTGTTAACTAAAAGAAATTCAATAATATTGTAAAAACTTGTACTTTTTATAATCGCTCGAAATTAAACAATGTATTAAGTTAATGTAATAGTTAAGAAAAATTCAAATTATTACTATTATTTAAATGCAATAAACAAATTATTCATAAGTGAGCTTCAAGAAAGACAAATACATCTTTACAGTTTCCTGACACATACGTAGGGTATTAATTTTAGATACAAAAAATAGGAAGAAATTAGCTAAAAAATACGTAATTTTTTAATTTATTTCATAGCATAAAATTAATAAAATAGTAATTGGCTTATAAAAAATAGATATTATTTTCAATTGCTATGATACGATAATAGTTCATTTTCTATGAAAATTTCAGTCTATAAAATTCATTATTTAATCATATTGCTTTAGTACAATTTAAAGAGATATAATAGTGTTTTGATTTCTATAAAATATAAATGACACCAACAAAAGGCGTGTTTAGAAGTTTTATAAAATTTGTTAGGAAGTTATGTACAAGAAAGATTGAAAAAAATGTTGTAGCTAGTATCAAAACGTCAGATGACAATATTGCTGCGAGTGGAGACTCAGTTTTATTGAAAAGAGCATAACCGGAAGTGCCATCTAAGAGTAATACCGATGAAAGGAAAAACGGTTTGTACTTATGAAAAATTATAATTTCTTATTTTTCAATTAATTATCATATTATTTGACGGGCCAAAACATTATTATATAATACGTTTGTATGAACGCAGCGCCCGGTGGTATTCATGCGGGTTTGTTAACATTCGTGGTTTTTTTTTTATCTTAAGTCTTTAGCTATGCCGAGGATAAGTAATAAGGTGAGTGGACTGTATGTTTGAATTTAGAATGAATTTTACAAAATATAATTTTAACAATTAAATGTATTATACAAGAAATATAAAATCGTATATACTTCAATGTGGATGGGGGGGCACTTAATACTAATGCCACTAAGGCTCTGATATAATCAAATAATAAATTATACAATTAATCTTAGAAAGATAGATGAACAAGCATTATACTTATCGGCTAAATGAAACGGCTGATGATAATGTTGATTTTTGAATTGTTCAATTGAAGTCGAATGCAAGTAGCAGACCAATGTGTACAATATGCTGTGGACGGTATTGTGATGTATCTCAGAAAATTTATAGACCCAACGGTGATAAACTGAGCACACAGGGTACGACAATCGCAAAAGTAATATTTTCTTTTACAGTAAGATGAATACAAAACTACTGGCTAGCAAACGCCATAGAGCTTATAGCAGAAGAGGCGTTAAGATGGCGGCGACAATGCTGATATAAAGAGAGACCGCCAACATTTCGATGTAACACAACGATAACATGAATAATCAACAACACATTTTCTTGACAGCATAACCAATAGATGTGTATCCAACAACGTTAAACTTTCAAATGTATTCATAGTTTATAATAATATTTCATTACATAGATGAGATTCAAGATTTTAAAGTAATTCCGTAATTTAAAATTATACTTAAAAAAAAATAAGCATATTATTTTGTTTAATTTACTTATACAATTCTCACCCTATCTAAAAAGCTATCAGAAATATCTAATGGAAATTATCGATATCTTGATAAAAAATAGTAGCAGTCAAGAAAAACGCAAGGCGGACGAAATAAACAAACAAAAAACTACCAGAATTAAAAAAACTTAGTTTAAAAAATTAGGAAGTGTACGCNCCAGAGTTAAAAAAACTTAGTTAAAAAAATTAGGAAGTGTACACCGACTACACAACTTATTATTTGTTTATTAATAATTTAGAATTCAAGCTAAACACAATATAATAAGATCATCTGAAACCTCAAATTGTGAGCTTGATGATGACACTAATATTTTAGATTAACCCTTTATCTTCTACTGACGAGACTAACGACGAAACTACAACTGAAAATCCTATGGATTCCGATTATAGTTCAGATACATCTTAAATATTTTCCTTCTCTAATTCCTACCCTACCATAAAAGAACAACTGACAACTGTTCCTACATTAACTTTAGAAACCTGCTAAAATGTATATTTTGCTGGGTATCTCGTTAAAAAATTGTTGGATAAATTTCAATGTAAACCATGTGAAAATAAATTTCTGAAAGAGGATACAGATCTTTTTAATGACAAAGAATTTTTAATCCTTTATAAAACAATTCAAACGCAAAATTAAATTATTACTGGTAAGTTGAAAAAACCAAAAAAAATGTTAATACATTTTGTTATTAATTCTCAACAGATAATTCATTATTTTTTAAATGAAAAGTCGTATACAATACAATTGAGTTTTAAATTAAATGGTATAATTACAAATGAATTATATCCTATTGTAAATATTTTACAAGAGTGCTTGCTTTACTTAGAATATTTAACTATAACTTTAATACACAGTAATTTTTTGAATATTGAACTTGAAGTCAAAATTTCACAAGATAAATTAAAGATTCTAAGAGGATATTAATATTTTTATAGGTTTAACCTATCTTAACTTCTTATTTTATCATTTTTAGTGATCTGAACTTTGGTTTAAATTGCTTTATTTGTATGAATGTTTTTTTCTAAAATATGTATAATAAGTTTTTTAATATTTCATTGTTTTTTTTGAAAAAATAAATTACTATTTTTATACACAAAATCCTTATAAAATGTGTAATTATTAATAAATATCTCACTTAGACTTGATTACTAGTAAATTAAGAAATTAATCACCAAATAATAAAAAAATCTTGACAGTGGACAAATCGGTAGCGAGAAATTGTTATGTAATAAGATAAGATTCTCAACACTAAGAGAAAATAAAAAAAACAAATAATAGTCAAATTTAAATCAATATTAATAAAATAAAAAATATATGTTTTATCAAATTCGTATTTTAAAGGAAAAGTTTCAGTAAATCAAATAAGCAATCGCTTTTTGGTAATAACTGGTTCTTATCTTAATTTGCGCTAATAGTGATAGCGGTACATTAATCGTGGCTATTACTTGAATATCAACAAACTGGACAGTTATTATTAAATATTTAATATTTCTCGAGAGAATATATAGCGCTATCTTTACGGGTATAAATTAACAAAAAATCGGTTGCCAATTGTCTGAATTCCGTGACCTATCTATGTGTATTTAATCTATGGTTGGTGTGAGTGTACACACAAAGGTCGTTCACGTGCCGGTCACAAATAATAAACATCTGATCATCTNCACGTGCCGGTCCCAAATAATAAACATCTGATCATCTCTCATGCGTACAAACAAATCATTGCATCTTATCATGTTTTTTAGATAATAAATGATGTCGCAAATCGCAGTCCACTCTATTAAAGTAGAATATGAGTAAAATATTTACAGAATATACAAAAAAATGAGGGTATTCTTTTTGTGACCTTGGATAATAATAATAATAATAATAATAATTAATCAATTAAATCACAAATAAATTATCAGTCAATGTAGTTTCTATTGTGAAGTATTTGTTGTTGGATAAAGATTATGTATACAAATAAATCCATATGATCATTTTTCTTATCATTAACTGAGTTCAGTTTTTTATTATTATTATTGATTACAGATTTCTGAATTGTATTAACATTGCAGGATATACAAATATAAAAAATCACGCTGAATTATATGATTAATGACATTGGTACAGGTCAAGCGAGTTATCATTAAATATTTGCCGACTCGTTTTGTTAAACATTTTAATAAAATGAGTGCTATGAATTTGTGCATGAATCGTAAGACTGAACCAGCAGAAATAAATCCAGCGAAAAAATCTGCTGGATACGAAGCTGTAAACAAATACGTTAAAGTAATGATAAAATTTTATTTTATTCAAAAATTAAATAATCTTGTATTTTAATCTGAAGGATATATTCTGGTTATATTTTTAAGGATGGTATGACTATTGGAATTGGCAGTGGATCAACAATTGTCTACAGTGTTCAGCGTTTAGGTATAAAATAAAAATTTATTTTTTGTGCTCTACATAAAATAACTTATTTTTAAATTTTAGCTGAGCGAGTAAAAGATGAAGGATTATCTGTGGTTTGTGTACCAACATCTTATCAAGCACGACAACTAATAAATGATTACAATTTAATTTTAGGTGATTTGGATACACATCCAAAAGTAATATATTCTATTGTTACTTTTTGAAAAATATAGTATTTGAAATTCAATTCTATTTTAGTTAGATTGTACAATTGATGGTGCAGATGAAGTGCAATTAGGTACTTTAGCATGCATTAAAGGAGGTGGTGGATGTTTGACACAAGAAAAAATTGTTGCATCTTGCTCGAACAAATTAATTATTGTAGTCGATGGATCGTAAGTCAAAGCGCAATTTTTGCAACTATAATTTTTACTTTTTAATTAATCATACTATATTTTTTAGCAAAGAATCTCATCATTTAGGACAAAATTGGAAAAAAGGAGTACCAATAGAAGTTATTCCTATGGCATGTAAGCCAACTCAATTGAAAATTGAAGAAAAATTTGGTGGACAAGCAATTTTAAGAATGTCAGCAGATAAAGCTGTAATTTACTTTAATTATTTCATTGATTAACATTAAAATATGTGTATAATGTATTAATATCATTCTACAGGGTCCTTTAGTAACAGATAATGGTAACTTTTTATTAGATTGGGTATTTCCTGAAAAAAAAATTTGCTGGTCATCAGTTCATACTTTTATTAAACTCATTCCAGGTAAATTAATATTTTAAATTTTTGAAGAAAAATATTTAAATTGAAAATTAAATAATAAATATTTGACCAAAAATTTTTTTCTATTTTTAATATAATTTTAGGTGTAGTTGAAACTGGATTATTTATTGATATGGCAAATGAATGTTTAGTTGGAAATGTTCAAGGAAATGTTAAAGTCCTACAAAAGACTGAACAGATTATAGAATTATAATTGAAAAACTATTAATATTTAAACTGTTAATTTACTTTTATATTTTCAATTTCAAGTGTATTGGATATAAATGGTCAATTGATGCCAATTTTTTTTTAATTAAATACATTTATTACTGTACTGTTTTTAAGGGATACATATTTACTATTTTATAAAATTATAATCCATACTATTTGGATTATTAAATAATTCCAATAAAAATTACAAAATAGTTGACAATTTTTTTAACTATTTTGTATTTATCAGTGTATATAGTTAAAACTATAACTAAATAAACAATTGAAAATATTTGTTTTTATTTTTAATATCTTATTACTCTGCAATTAAAATTATATAATTTAGTCTTTTAATTTTAACATAGGACTGCTATGAAAATCTTGTATATGAATCTATTTGATTATCATGGGACAATAATTACTGTCCCATGTCATAATTTGAATAATTTATTTTAAATTGTTGATTATATAGTTTTAAAATGTTTCAAATTTTTTGAATCATTTTTCATTGACTGGTAGATTTTTTTTTAAAGTATAATATGTTGAAAAAAACTTTATTTAGTAATATTTGTTTCTCAATTTAATGGTTAAATATTTTTTAGGTCTATTCTTCATTTCTTAAAGGAAGTCAAATTTATTTTTTTTAATGAAAATATGTATTATAATCTTTCTTAAATGGTCCATTTAAGAAAATAACTGGTCGATCAAAGCTTTTGAACTTGTAGTTAAAAATATTTTTATATCTTGGTCAAAGGTATAGCAAAAAAATGATTGATATTAAAAATAGCTTCACCCTCACTTCCACTCCAGATCAAACATTTCAAAGTTTTAATATTATATAAGTTGTTCAATTATACATGAGGTAAATCTACAAAAAAATTACAAATTTAAAAATCGGTAAAATTTGTCATTTTTTCTCTTAAAACTTCCATAACTTTTTCAAAAATCCACAAATCAACATAACTTTTTTTATACTAAAACCTTAGATATTTCCCTTTCATTTGATATAATTTTTTTGAAAATCTAACATTTAACCTGCTCACTAGGGGGGGATTTAAAATAGCAACTTTTTTACAAAAACTAACTTTTTCAACTTAATTTTTGAAAAATTTTCGGAAATACTGCGTCCTTTTAACATATATCAAATCGAAGGTTATGTCATAAACTATAAAATGAAAAAAAAAATTTGTCCCGACACCTTAACTTCTATGTGCAAATGGCTGTCGAAATTAAAAAAAAAATGTAATGTTTGGGATAAAAATCACCTTTTATCTGGATGTTTTTTGTACTTAAAACTGCCATCATTTTTTCAAATATTAATAAATCAAAATAATATTTTTTTATATTGAAACCTTAGGTAATTTCCTTTTATTTGATATCATTTTTTTTGAAAATCAAACACTTATTCTGCTCACAGGGGGGTTTTAAAATAGCAACTTTTTTACAAAAACGGTTTTTTTCAACTTAACTTTTGAAAATGTTACGGAAATACTGCGTCCTTTAAACATATGTCAAATTAAAGCTTATGTCATGTACTATAAAATTAAAAAAAAAAAATTTGTTCCAACGATCTATCTTCTATACGCAAATGATTACCGTATTCAAAAATATGCTATTTTTGTATTAAAACTCTGGGTTTTGTATTTTATTTTATTTTAAAATATCTTATTAAGGGAATACACTGACTTTCATGAATATTATATAATTTAATTGATATAGAATAAAGTTAATAAGACATAAAAAATTAAACTTATTAATTTTTTTTTACTTTTTTAAAGTCGGAAAAGTAATTTTTAAATTTGAGTCAGCTTAAATATCTAATTTTATCATTTGACGAAAGCAACAAACAGTTGCCGAAATAGTAACACCTGTCTTTCACTCTTGGGGTACGAGGTTCAATTCCATTTGTGGCAAGTAATATTTTGTATTTTTTTTGAGTTAGAACAAAATTTTCAAATCATTTGATATTTATCTCATTTAGATTCAATAACTTCGATAGATATAAAGAATCCTATCACTATAGTCTCCCCCCGTGAGAAGAAATTTATATTTATGTTAATATTATTTTACTATGTGGTTCTTTTTGTGGCTACTATTTATTTTGCCAACCCTCACTAGACCAACTTTTTTCAACGATACGTCAAATGATTACAATTTGTATTTAGTTTAAGTTATTACTCTTAAAAATCGAAAAAATATTCTTTATTCAAATTAAAAGTAGCTTAACCAGTTTTATCCATATAAACAATTAAAATCGTTCGTTTCTAATATTTTTAAAGTATTTATAATCGAGTCAAGTTCGATATGATAATTTGATATGAAAAGGTTTCAAATACAAAATTAAATCATTTTATTTTGTAATTTAATAATTTTTTTACCCTATTTGTGTGTGCTACTACTAAACTATAATATTCCAAATTTTTTGGTAACATGTTGCTATATAAATTATTTCTAAAAAAAATGATTTTTAGTTTCACCTGAATTTAACGATGGATTTTCAAAATTATAATCAAAATTTTAATTCGCTCAATTGAGTAGATTTTTTTAACAACTTTTTTTTTATTGGTTCTTTTAGTTAAAGTAAATCATTAAAATTAATTAAGTTCTGAATATTTCCATTGTAGAATCTTTTTAAACACCAAAAGTTATGGTAATAAATTCATTTCTTTTTTTTATTATAAACTTTTATTTTAAAGGACGAAATAAAAAAGGTTAAAAATTATTATTTTTAACAAATTAAAAATCAATATCAATAATAATTTGAAAACAATTCAATATAACAATTATATAATATAAAATTTTATATTATATTTTTGAATCTAAGAATTACTAATCTGGATATAATTAAGGAAATAGTTGATGTTGCTTTTGTAATTATCCTTCAATTTCTTAGAATTAAACATTATCTACAGATTTGCATCGAAGCGTTTCATATGATAATGATTTTAATCACTGTCAGATTAAATCTATACTGGATCCCACTGTGCTGGGTTTTGTTTTTTCTATTTGCAAAATAACTTTTCATTTAATTTCAGTTGTAATTTAAAAATTTAGGATTTGATTAAATTTTCACAGTTCCCAATCAATTCACTACTTTTATTTATTATATATATATTTTTTTTTTGCATATATAAATACAATTTTTTCACATATTTAAATAATATTATCTATGATAAAAATTATTTATTTAAAATATTACTACTAAAATGTAATTAAATACCTATATTCTTATAAACACCATAAATAACGCAAGCAAAAACATATTACAAGTTCAGTAAAATTAACAATAAAAATTCTATTAAACAAACATTTAATAATATGTAAAATTACGCAGAGTAATAACTAAATTTTTCTACACAAGAAGTATCTAAACAAACATGAACATATTTTTGAATTTATAATCATGATTTATTAATTTTATTTTATTAACATTTGTTGGTAGATTTTAAATGAAAATTATTTAAACATTTTTATCTCATCATTTAGTAATAACATTAAATTAGGCTCTCATAATATATTTTTAAAGGGGCACATTAATTGATATGTTTCGATTATATATTTTGGTGTGTTAAAACACCAGATTAAGGCGATCATAATCACAAATTGAATATTTACAATCATAATTCAAATTAAATAAATTTCTTAAATATTAATAATATTTTATGTGAATAGCTTCATATAAGAAGTTAATAACATTTAATTAAATTTTTTAGCAAACTTGATGTATTAATTATAAGGCTACTGTCCATCACATAAAAAAATACATGGACTGTTGCATATAGCACGTTTTAAACGTATTCATAATGATATGTATGAGTTGCATTAAAAAAAGGCAATATTAATTTTAATTAATTATTTTAGTAAATTAGTTTAGAAAAAATTCAAAAACATGTCTTTTTGAGCTTAATTATTTGTAAAAGGATTAAATAATCAACATCTACAGTTTAACTTTATAGTAGTCATAATAATTACAAATTCTTATTAGAACATTATAACAAAGTCTAAAAAAAAAAAAGAAAATTTTAATTTGGACGGATATTATTTATTGCTAAGACGTTGATGAGATATTAGTGTAAAAAATTTATTGGAATGCATAATTTATTCATATACAAATTTGGTGGAATGTTTTTATTATTTATGTCAACGTCTTTAGCATTAAAGCGTTTACGGACATTAAGTGTATAATATTGTCTTCAAATACAATTGACAGATCTAGAAAGTTTATCAACAAAATGACCGAAAACTAAACAAAACACTTACACTTAAGTATTTTTAGATGTTATGTCAAATATTTTTACAACTAATTATAATCATATAATAATTCATAAATTGTACATCTAATCCACTTAATTATAAATATTTATACTTAGTATAATACATAATGAAAACAAAACATAATTAATTAAATATATACAAAAGAATAATAGGAAAAAAGAGGATTTTATTTTGTCATTAAATTAATACACTGGTAGTTAGGTACCATAAAAAAAGGTCAATTATCTATCTATATTAGAACAAATCTTTGGTTTTTTTAGTTGTATATTTTATAAAAATAATAATTATATATGAAATAAAATACTGGCAAAGGAAATAATGAAATAAAAAGGAATGATTATTGTCTTTAAAAAAATTAAAAGCCTAAGGAAAGATTGTCATTTTTAAACAATTACTATTAACTACTATTATAATACATTTAATAAAATTAGTTTACACATGTTCCCAGATTTCTGCTATGAATCGTTAAAAGTGACAGTATATAATAACGAAAAAAAAAATTTTAAATCAACTAGAAAAATTTTATGAGCTGCCAAACAAGCTGCACCCTGTAAATTTATTTTAAATAAAACCTACTAATATAAATTTAAAATTGCAAGAAAAAAAAAAGACTACTTTGTATAAAAAATAGTTTACAGAATTTAATAATTTCTTAATTATTCTATAACAGTACAATAGAATATATAATTTTTTGTTTTATTTTTAAAATACATTTTTTTGACTCTAAAACCATTTAATATTGAGTTATAAATATCATAATAACAAATCGAACATAAAAACAGTCCAATAGTTATATTAAATAAGCATGGTAAATGAATACCTTTAACAAATTCTAATAACTAGAAGACCTGTTTTATATGTTTCATTGTAGGTCTTTTTAAGTCTTTCAATTTAATTATGTACAAAATAATTAACGTTAATTTCCTTCAAGCATTATTGATATGTATTGAGTGAAAGTATGTGAGCGCTCTAAGAATTTTTTTCTTTTTTTTTTTAATTAATTATTGCTAAAATCTGAATCACGACTACTCGAGATACCAATGTTGATGACCGAGATGAGATGTTCTTTTAATTTATATAAAAATGTTTATGAGAAATAATCACAGATTTGATGAGTCTTAAGATCGTATTATACTACTAACGACTAAAAAAGCATCTTATGACAATATTGTAGAGGTTATAATCAAAGCGTAGGGAATAAAATTGTAGGTATTATTAGATTAGGCACAATTATATGAATATTATTATTATTTTTCTTTTTTCTCTTTTCATCTACAGCAATACAAAGAGTGTTTAGATACTGTATTATACAGTAGCATTGAAAAAGCCTTATATGTAATTATGATTTAAATTAAAATAGGTAATACAATAATAATAATATCGTAATAATATCTCCATTAAGGCTTTGGTAGGTTAAAAAAAATTTTTTTGAAGTGTCGCGCGTTATCTAGACTTGGGCGGGTATCGAAGATCTACCTAGTTGTTGTCAGGTGTTGTTCAACTGCATGTGTGTATACGTGAAATTGACGTTGTCCAATTTCTTTTGGCCAGCATACTCCCTGTGAATAAATGAATACTTGAGTTATAATTAGAGACACACTCGACATATATAATAAATTGTATTATAATAATTGTTAATAGTGTAAAAAAAATTAATAAAATAATGAATAAGATGTATTAAATGTTATTGCGTGTGCATTTGTGTACCTATTTTGCCTACACGTTTCGCCCGTTTTAATTTGAAAATTTAGAAGTATTATCATAATAAAATTTTTTTTATTAATATTGTTTTAATGTTTTACACGAAACGTGTCAAGTGATTGCCATTTGCCCCCTTGTCACAATACTCTGTGCCCGCCACCTTCTCACCTTATTATTATTTTACATATAAATACATCTATTATATTCATAATCAACGTCTCCTCATTTATAGGCCGTTGGCCAGTAATTAAATGACTGCTTTGAATGACCAAAACTTGTTCTATATTAAAAAAAAAAAAAATTAAATTTTAAAATCCTGTATTTTTCATTGGCCATTTTAATCTTAGAAAACAACCATCTTTATAGAATTTATACATGTGTGAAATGTGACGTCAATGTATACACTTAGGTGTTCAAACACAGATATTTTTAACTAAACAAAGCAATTAATAGAAAAATTATGGCCAAATGGCAAAAAACAAAAAACATTCTGATAACAGCTCACTATTAAAAATCTCCTTTTTAAATGATAATTTCATAAATCTTACTTACCACGTTACTATTAATTTTTACATAACTATAATATTTTACTGGAAAAATCGAGATTTTATCTGAAAAAAATTATGTATAATGTATAATTTTATACTCTAAATTTAACCATAAAAAAATGGAGTAAAATTTTTTTTTAAGTATTAATAATAAAATAAAGTAACTGATAAATTTTTAATTGATAAAATTATACATATAGAGATAAAGTTAAAAATATATCTTAAAACAAACAGGTCAAACATCAAAATAAATATTTAAAAAAAAGCAGTCCATAAACTTTATCTCGTCTGACTGAAATAAATAAGCCTAAAAACTAGTGTACAATGGGCTTCCTACTATATTTAGACTACAAAATAAAACATTTCGATTTTTGTTTTTTTTTTTTAATTTCTAAGTATATTTTATAGATAAATTATGTTATTAGAATTGAAGAAATAAAAATGTATGATGAATAATCCTATGAATATATTATACGAATAAACTTGTTCATAAACAGCAATAGATTACTTTGATGTTTAACTGTGTGTGCTCAAATATATGGTTTATGAGTAACTTAAAAACAATATCGTGAGTGAAGTAGTACACGTTTATAGTAAATGTTAAAAATAAAATATGCAACACTCAAATTCGCCTAAAAGCTTAAAAAGACGACCAGAGATCACGTCCAAATGTAATTTCGTACGCGACTGATGTCATTTAATTTTTGTTTTTGACGTCACACAAATACACCTATATACACAAACGCACAACACACACACACACATACAACAAAATCTTATGACAGTGTTTTTCTTCTATTTGTTTTTGTGCCGAAAAAATTTGTCTGGTTGATTTTTACCACTACTGACCTGGCGAAAATGTCTTTAAGCTCGTGGTCGGACACAAACTGTCCAAGGTTGGCGACGAACAGCGTAGAACAGGGTGGCTGGGGCTGCTGCTGGTTTGGCGGCGAGGGCAGTGCGGGGGAGGGCAGGAACGGCAGGCCGTGTGGGCCCAGTGTCAACGTCGGCTGAAAACGAGCCAATCCTAATATGATTTAATTACGAATAGTACCTTCACCTCAAGCTACTTTAACATCTCTATAGTTATTTATATTCAAATAGATTAAGTGATTTCTACAATAAATTAACAGAAATGTGTATACAGTTTAAAGAAATGCAATAATATTATACTAGGCTAAAAACTATGTACGACGAAAGTCGACGAAGATTTTTTTAAAGCTATACTATATTACAGTAACATACAACGTTATTAGGAGCGAATAATTTTATATTAAATCGCCTCTGCACTTTCGGGTCGGTTTTAGAAAATGCCAATAATTTAAATCAACTCTGTCGATCAAGTCTCATGTAGTATTCGTTGATATTATTATTATTCATTATACCATACTAGAATCATAATGGCATATGCATAAGATCGACAGCGAAATAAACCAAAATATTTATCTCGATCTCATTAAAAAATCATTAGTTGTAATGATTTTGACAACTAATCACTAACACTCTAATACCGATCCACCGAAAGACATTTTCGCCAAAGTGCAGTGCGTCCATGACCGGCAGACATGCGTATGTAGAAAATTATTCATTGGCAATTAAACTAAAAAATCTCGAGAAAAATAAGTGGAAATCTTTACCAACATATAAACTTTTAACTGAACAGTAATTAAATGCATGCAATGTCAAAACTATGTTTTCAATTATAATATGCCCGTGAATTTTATTAATTTTTAAAGATACTTTGTATAAGTTGTTAATGACTAAAACGCAAAAAAATAATGACATTTTGACACACAGTGTTTTAAAATCAAACAGTCTCAAATAGATCATCGAGTCCAATTAATATATTGAAATAAAATTAAACATTAATATATTTTACTGTTTTGTTTTTCAATAAAAAACATGAAAATCAAACGATCATATACTTTTAATTTGCCTTTTATTCAGTGAAGTTTTTTTATCAGTTTCAATTTATAATAATATCGTATTACTTTATGAAAATAATACAAAAAACTGTTTGGCTTAAGCCTTATGAAATTTATTTTGATATCTCGTAAAATTTTCGCAAGACAGTTGAAAAGATCTTAAATTGCCAAAATATCAATAGGGTAAATTTCGTACTGAAGATTTGACCGTTGGTAAAAAATGTAATTTTATATACGGCAATATTCGACAGTTGAATATAACGTTGGATAAGTTACATTATATAATACAATAACAACAATCCAAAAGGAATACATACATAGCGATTTCTAAAAAGTTGCTTTGCGAGACAAATTTATTCGTGTAATATAAAAAAATTATTGTGTTAATATAAATTAGAACGTGTACTCCTAACCGAAATCTAATGCTAAGTTTATACGGTACTTTTATTTTTTTTATTGCAGAAATGGTATGTTTTTTTGCCAGTGTGTGTTAATGTGATCGGAAGATTAATAAGCCAAAGAAGCAAAGAAAATTGTACAGTTAAAAAGATATATATTGCAAGTTAAATTTAATCGAAAGCCAAAGCAAAAGAATAATTAAGTAACTCGGATGTTTTGTTGTTAGGCCATTGATATCAAACAAAATAAATGAAGCAGTATTTGAAGTTTTGAGTCTTAAATGAGTAGTCTTAAATGCGCTACATAAGACAAACATTGTACCTGTTGAGGGTGTGGATGTAATGCCGGATGGACTAGTGCGGCATGTTGCAAAGCCGTAGCTGTGGCAGCAGTGGGCATGTCAGCATATGCCAATGGATGATGCCAAAGCTCTGCCGGAGCTCCTGTGAAAAACGGAGCACCTAGATCTGTAAAACAGATAAAACAACAATTAGTTATAGCAATTAAACTGATAATTAGCGGTATGAACGATAAGCACGAGGGAATATTATGACATCATTAAAAGTGCATATGACACATGAAGAATGAAAGTTAACTATTTCTGTACAATATGTATTTATTATTTTTCAATGATGACGTCAAAAATAATTAAATTTTGTTAATATAAGAGCCAAATGCAAGAGTGAAGTCTAGAATTAAATCCGTGCAGATTACGTTAGTTTAACATGTTTGAGGATATTTAGCATGTAGCCATTTATCTTGGACCAGAAGTAATGGTACGTTGGATTCGATGTACGCTACTGGTGAGACAGATGAATAAAGGAATGCTGTGTTTAAGGAATAAATAAATTAACTGGTAGGTAAGTACTTGGATTGATTAACGGTTTCTGTGCTAACGGTATACCGCAAATTGTACAGGGTTACTTACGTCCGGTGAGCGGGTGCATCAGGCCTTGGTGCGTGTTGGGCGTGACGTTTGCGTTGGCGGGCTGTTTCGGCTTGCTAACCTTCGTGTTGCTTTTAGCGAACTCTAGCCGTATGGTTTGCGGCATGTCGGGATCGAACCGGACGCCCTGCTGCCGAAACCAAACATACAAAAATACAGTGCTACCATCCCGTGGTCGTAGTCAGGAGATGTTTTCATTGGCAATCACATTAAATTTTATGTCGTAAAAATAGCTTATGAAAATTATACTTTGAAATTAATTTATCAAAAAAAAGGGCTACTCTTGAATGATAACATCTCGCTCTGACTCCGTGTTACTAATTATATATTTTAGTAAATTTAACATTATCATTATATAGACGATTATAATATTATGTAAACTGTGTGGTGTTTTCGATAAACTTTCAGTTATTATTGAAATACATTATATAAAGCACATTCGAGTAAATCCATTTTTTCGATAAAATATTAGATAAAAAAATGAAACTTGTATCGGAAAATTTAACTAGTTTTACTTGATTCTAGAATAATAATGTTATACACGTGAGTTGTACATAATATACACCAGTTTTATAGATATATTTTAACCCAATATTTGACCTTACCTACATAAAACGGCACTTAAATTTGATGGCTTAAACTGTGATATTGTATGCCAAACACGGAAATATTTTGGCAATAGCCGACACTAAAATCGACCCGCCTTTTATTTGGTATAATGATCCGTACAAATCGAAACAGAAAGATGAATTGTTTCAATGGTGACACGTTTATAAATAATAATTGAATTAAAATTAGATTTGAGATTTATCAACAAATATTTCAACTTTCTGTTAACATAGATGTAACAATGATATTCTAGGGAAACCCACACAGCTCACAAATGATTTTAAACGTCTATGGTTAGTTATTTTTATTACAATTCCGGGTTATAAACTCTTTGGTGCGCGTGGTATACACAAAATGCCAAGGAGATGATTACTAGAATAAAAGAAAGGGTTGCTAAATTAGCGTGACGTAAAACACACTTGGTGATAACAATAATTTGATAGTATCAGCTACTCTAAACAGTGATCATATATAGTTTGATATTTAAGATATAATAACAAAATTGATTAAAAAAAATTAAAATAAATAAATATCTATTTAAATTTTTTTTAAAACTGTGTTTAAAAACATTTATATACAAAAATTATAACAATTATTATTGGCATTAAGAGCATTTTAATTAGTATTTTTTTAAAGCCCACAGAGTTCATAACGCAGAAAACTTTAATACTTATTTATATTTTATACATATTGTATACTGTTATAACTTAAGCTGGTATAAACGCACCTGAAGATCTTGTTTAGCAGCTTCAGCGCCAGCTCGTGTTTGGAAAGTGACAAATCCAACAGGCTAAAAAAAGCAAACAAATATTGTAATTCAAAAAAAAATATGTATATTGAACTATTTTTTTCAAAATATAATAATAATTTTATTCGTACCGAAGCGGTTTTTCCATTTTTGCTTGTCACTTTCAGTAGAGATCCTTCGTAACCCTAAATAAATAAGAAATGACTTTAATCTATATTGTTTATAGTAAAAAGTTTTATATTATGGAACATTTATTTAAAGAAAATCTTAAATGTATTATATTAAAATAAAATGAAATAAATACAGTCAAGTAGATACTTTTTGATAAATAAGATCGGAAGTAAAAATAATTTAACACGTAAAAACTTTATATTTACTATTATTAGACTGAAGCACTTACTTTTATACTCATGTATAAAGAGTAATTGTTTAACTCTGATTCGTGTAATATCTTTAAAAATATAACACATAGTATAATTTTTTATTTTCAGGAGTTGATACAATAAGGCACAGTTAAGGGGGCAGGACTATATTATTTCTAAAAATTATAGAACGGACTATGAATAACTATAAATTTCTAAAAAGAAATAATAATATATTTAATATTTTTATGAATATTGCGTGAGTCATAGTATTTTAATCGGCAGTGGTTTTTTATCTCTTAAAATTTAATTTTTAAAACATAATACTTGTATAGTTTAAACGTTTATATTAATTAATAAATTAACATAAATAAATAATAATTAGAATAGTATTACCATACTAATCACTAAACTTTATTTATAAAAAAAAATTACATTATTGTTATTATACCTAATTTTATAATTTGATATAGTTATCTATTCAAAAAAATTAATGATATAATTGATTATTGTAATAAATTATGATCATTTCATGATACCATATAGTAATTGAAAACTTTTAATAGTAATATTATTTGGTTTTTTGTTTATGGAACTACACTATATACACTACTACTGTACACCCATTTCAATTTTCCAAAAATGTATTTTCAGTAAAAATAACATATATTGTATGCTATTTCTAAATATACATGTCATATAAACTTAGTATTTACATTCCGAACAAAAATATATCTGAGTAAACACTAGAGCACTCGATGATTTCCCATTGCAACAGTACAAAACAAATTCAGTTGAAAACGCTGTACACACACACACATATATATATATATGACAACGAATAAAATGGAAATAATATATAAAATAATAGATTACTGAAGGGTTAATATCATAAAAAATCATAGCTAGCCGTAACGTAGATATTAAACTAGGTCAACACACCGATAACATTACTGGTCTACGCCCGTCTTGATTACTCATCATATTTAGTTTAATCGGATAATAAAACTTAAAAATTAACTTGAAATAATCAATATTATAACAAAAATTGTCCTACGAATTAGATAAAAAAAAAATTCGTTAAAGGTCGAACATAATATTTTACTTGTTAATATCTGTCTTTATATAAAACATTTTCAGAATCTTAAAAATGTACTTTCGATCTAATATGAATCACATCTTTATTTCATAATAAAACGAATACAATCTAATTGAGTATTGAACAAGATTATAACTAGATTAAAGTAGAAAAACCTACGATCATTTAAGTAGTGATTTAACTGGATAAAAATAATGTACTAAAGAAGCTTACAAGGAATTTCGCAATCTTTTTCTTGTGTCGAATCACTCATCTCATTATTGTAAAGTGTACTATACTTAAAACTTTAAGTGAAAACGGAAAAAAACTGTGTAAAAGAAAAATCAATGCGAAGGATTAAAAAAAAAATTGTTCTATCTACGAAGTTATAAGTGGATCAATTTAAAACTTTAACACATAGAAGTTACGAGAATCTGTGTCAAATTATTCGTTTTCTACGATAATTTTATTCAAACTATTTTACATATTGAAACTATATATTATTTTTACTTCTAGCAAATGATGGTTAAAAAAAATCGAATTATAACGTGCATAATACATTTTTTAAGTACTTATGAGTTTTTCATATTACCATTTTTATTTTTATATAGATTAAAGAAAAATTAAAAAAAAAAATGTTTGTAAAATTCGGGATACGTCGAATACTTAAATAGTTAAATAGTTATAGCTGGTAAAATAAATAGATTTATTTATTCATGGTTTCTATTGGTTTTTGAATACCTTGGAGGTTCTTATTTTGTATTCATTAATATTTTATTGAATATATTAACATATAACCTATAGGATGACCAGTCCATGTTAAATTATTAATACAACTCTCTAACTATATCTTGAACAGAAGAAACTGAACTATTCTCAAATCGAAAAATGATAACGACGTTCTACATTCTTTTAAACTCTACCACTGATAACATTAATATTCCTAGCTCATCAAGATAAACGTAAAAGACAATTTACTCACCTCATATGCTCGAAACAACAAGTATAATTCTCTTGGCTTAGCATCCATTGGCAAGCCACTAACGAATAGTGTTCTGACCTGAAATATAAACAAAATATCGATTACACTCATTGCGTAGATTCATTAATAATGAATATTGGTTAATTATTAACAAACGGAAGAATTTTTTCATTTTATGTTAATGCTTGTTCAGTACTGTTAAAAAATTTAACATGTAATGTAAAAATGTGGGAGAACCGCCCTTGCGTGCTAGCAATGTCTACGTGCGTGACAATCATCATTTCCCGTGTGCCCTACCGTGTTTTCCATTAAGTTAAATACAATTCGGGGTTTCCCTTCACCTGTTCAGCAAAGTACACTCGTATTGTATTTAATAAAAATATCTACCCCACATAAATGTATACGCAAATACATAATTTAACATAGCAACTGTGTATAAATGTAATAAACTATAATGTTCCTATTTATTGTAAATGTTAAATACAACGATTAAAGCTAGACTAACTAAAATAAAAATTTTATAAACAAAGTTATGCTATTTTTATGAAAGTATTAAAATATTTGACGTAAAAACTAATTTTTGATAAAAACACATAGACATAATACTATACGATGTCAGTAGGACGTGGTGATTTATATAAATGACGGAAGCTTTTTCATATTGCCGTTTGGGTAACAAAAGAACACATGAGCAATGAACTCATTGTTTTCTAAAGGTCATAGTTATGTCGACGCAAGGCTTCGTGACTTTTTGATCTACGTACAAAGGTCTGGGGCGACACGGAAGAAGAACCTCTTGACGGCAGCAAAAACCAAGAGAAAAGACATGGTAAAAGAATAATAAAAATACACAAATAGGTACTACCCTTCACATTTTTATGATATGCATGTATAAACAGATAAAAAGAATGACTCTCAAGAGCGCAGGAGTTTTGTTAAGAGGCACTGGAAAGTGAAAAATAATAAAGTAGAGACATCAGGGACGTTTAATACAACAAGGGAGAACAGGGTTACTTGACTTGAACTGTCTCAAAAATATACGTCATAGCTAATCTTACAATATAATGTTATGGACAAGAAAATGTAAAAGTTCTTATACTCTTTTTTTAACTTATCAAAATTTTTGAAGTAAATTAACACCAGAAAAACTATTAATGGAAAAATTTTTCAAAATCTAAATTCTCAGATTAATTAATTATTTACATATATATATATATATCTGAATTTTTAATAAAATATATGTGTTTCATTATTGAGTTATGCAATAATTTCATGATTTAAAATTATAACTTCCTTATAATTCCATGAGTTCATATTTTCTTCGAATATAGCCAATATTAATTAGGTAAATAAAAAAGTTTTTTTTAATTTTTTTAGTATTTAGATGGAATACTTTAAATAATACTTTTATCTTAAGTTTTACAACAGTTATATTTTTATAACAGAACAAATATGAAATTTATTCCTTTTATTACATTCCTATTAAATTATCATTAAAAATAAAAAAAATACTTATTTACAAACATATATTATGTAAGTGATAAAAAATACCCAATACATTCATTGTAAATTATAAAAGAAAATTTTATTAGAGAATAATTTAATTTATGTATAAAGCATTCAAAGTTTGGTAAACAATAAGAAATATATCAATTAAAAAGGTAAAACACTTATATTTAAAGTTTTAATTTTCAAATTTTAGAATGAGAATCGAATTAGCCTATTTGTTGAAGTTGATACAAACTCTAAGCGAACAGGTGATTTCAATAAACAATATAATAGAGGAACAAGTAATTTTGTATCCATGGAAACATTGTTATCAACATAACTAACGTTACCTCGAAAGCTGCCTAGTCGACAACACTCATTATAAATAGTAATAAAATTTGTCTCATTGCGTTTTCCTTCAATAAAAGAATAAAATTATGAACTTAGGTTTTCCTCAGAACACTTAAATGCGGCAAGACAGAAGATTTACTGAAAAATAACTATGTATTATTCTTCAGGACTAAAATTTTGATAATAATATAACTGTTATACGTTATTTTTTTTACCAAGAAAACTAGTTAAAAAAAATGTTATTTTTAATTTTTTTCCACTATTTAAAGATGTTTTTGTAAAAATAATATCAATTTTTTATATGAAAAATATGTGTAACTACAATGAATGACATTAACTTCTTAATGTTCAATTTTATTTTTATGGAATAATAAAAACATACTGTACGAACGTTCCATTTATATTAATAAACTTTTAAAGGTTATAATAAATAAATATATTTGTTATTTTGAGGAATTCACTTTTATATTTTTCGATTCATAACAGCTAAATTTTTTACCTATAGTTTCAGCAGATTTTTAGAATTTGTACTTGTTTGTTCGATATTTTAAAACAGTCATAGAAAAAAATATGAAATTTCCTGTGTTCATTGTCGATATTTATCAAAAATTACACCACATAAGAAATGTAACTAATGAGGTAACCTTGTTTAAAAAAATGCTTAATTAGTTGGTTAATTTATTTATAATTTACACCATCTAGATATATTGTTATTCATTTAATTAGTAATTTTCATTAAAATCATTTGTTTCCAACATATTTCATTTTTATTAAATTACATAAATACAAACAATAATTTAAAAACCTCTCAATTTTTTGAAAATTTAACTCAAACAATTTTAGTTGTTCGTAGTTCGCGATGTGAAAGTTTTCTAAATCCAATATATTATTTCAGCTATTTCCTTATGCTATTGATTTACGAAACAATAATAATAATTTTCAGTGTTTATAGCAACTTGCTCATGATAATAGTATTATAGCCAGACTATTAATAATAAAAAAGTTTCCAAAGAATCCATTATTTAAAACGATGGTAGAATAATTTCAAACGCTATTTATCATATTTTAATATGAAACATAATAAGACAAGACACGTCATCGTAAAATATTCAAGCAATGATATATACATGAAACATTTTGCTATTGTAGTAACGGTGTTCTACAGTACTCGTCTATTCTGTTAGGGAGTTGCCATCTATCAAGTCAGTAAGTTTTACAATATAATGAATAATATTGATAAAAAAAAATATGACAAAATTGTCGTTCGTGTTCACGCTGACGTTTGTTGTAGATATCAACTTTTCGTAATACAACTAGTATCGAACGACAAAGGTAGTAGTGAAGTATATATATATCCTTAGATATGGTAACGGTCACAAAATCATTAGTCACGTCTTTTGAATGGGTAGGAAAGGACTGAAACAGGAGTGAGACGGGTGCGATGGTGCCTGTGTCGAGCTAACACGACAGAAAAACGTGCTTCTCAGCAATTTGTCATGGACTTCAATTGTAAAGATTGTACTATGATGCGTACGACAACTACTGTCGATGTGAAATTATATTAGCCATGTAAACAAAACGACCGTGAATTATTACTACTGTTTTTGTTAATACTGCGAAACAAGCATTCAGTGGGCGCATTCACGGATTATTTTGTCGATACCAGCGGGTGGTATGTTTTTTATGTTATTACATAATGTGCGATTGTAAAAACGCGTGTCACCATTAAGATATGTGAATGGGCCATAACATAAAGGATATGCCCGTCATTGGTGTGATAAGACTTCTTCAATGAGGAGGGCGAAAGTTTTAGAAAGTAGAAATTGCAGGTAGGCCAGCGGCAGGGACTACGCGGGTTCAGTGGACCCGCAATCCAACGACTAGGTGCGGGGGTGGCCGTGACCCGGGGGTTGGATCAATAGCGAGGCCGCATGCCTTGTTTATGGTGTATGTCAGTAGTGTACGCTTGTATGTATGTATAGCATTTCACGTAAACTGACAGTGGGTACTATTACCTTCAGCGTTCTCATTTCAAAGTCTGTACATTTTAAAAGTGCACTATTATTATTTAAACGGGACAATAAATAGTTGAAGTCCTGAACTATCCGCAATTTACGAACTAAGATAGAGATAACATTGCAGGTTTTCATGAGCTTTGGTTTACAATGTCAATATTCACTTCAACGCAATCAATCTCAGTACACAAAGCATATTAAATTCTTCAATTATATTAAATAATAAATATTGTTCAATAGACTATGTTCGTCAACAATCAACTTCTCTTTATTTTTGAAGTCTTTAAAAATCAAATGAAATATAAACAAACATCAAAACGTTGTATTGAAATAAATGGTCTCACGTAAATTAAAAACAAGTTATACTCAAATTGTTTTGGTAAATAATTTGTTCAGCTAGACAATAGTTCTATATAACATGGCTTCTTAGGTTGATAAAAATAAGACTTTTGAGGCTTTTTAATTATTGTTATTATTATTATTATTTACCCATTGCTGTAGTGAAACAACACGAGTCTTGAGCGAATTTCGACAAAATTATAATAAATAAAGAGCCGCTCATTAGCATTACTATTAGAAAATCAAGTGCATATTATACATGTTAAAAGTATAATTTATTAAACATTTATTCGCTTCTAAAATTATTGATTGTTCAATACTTAGTCGCCTGGCAACCGTAAGTCATAACAAATTCTATTTTATAAAATATAAATAAATTATAATTTTATAAAACTCGAAATTAAAAAATAACTACTTCTACTTGACACTACTCAAATGTTAAGAGGGTTTATGTCAGCTAGAGACGGACAATGACAGCACTTTATTTTAACAGCCTTCCATGTTATAATAATAATATTAAGTTTTTATCGCTATTATTACAACAACCTACGTAGGTGCTACAAGAATATTGATAATATAATTTTCTCATCTCATCTTGGTAAATTGTGGATTCCGTTTAGGGCGGTGTCGGCGGCATCAGGCGAATGCAATCGATAATATTATAACGTTATTAAAACTTATATACATTGTAGTTATAAACCGTCCTTAATAGTTATCTTATAACTAATATAACGTTATATCAAATATAAACAAAGTTACTATTATATGCTGAATAATAATTTATTTTTCATACAGTGTGCTAATGAGAAGGAAAACATTTTATAGTTATTTTCCTAACTGTCACTACTAATTTGACAGGCGCAATATATAACATTATTATCGACT